GCCGTGAAAGGAATTGTGGGGTTGTGTGCCACATAATAATTGCCAACACAACACAGGGTAAAAAGTATTCAACATCGAAAATAGCCATATTATTACGCAGCGTATACAGCGTAGCTAGCACAAGATCTCTCAAATGGAATATTGTTTGAAACCAGGGTGTGTGTAATAATAATAAATAATCGATAAACGGAACAAAGGTTGTAGATTTTCCTCCCGCCTCTTAGCGGAGATTCCGTGCATGATGTTAAGCATGGAAAAAGAAAGGCCAGATTCTGGCGCAGCAGGGGGGGGTATCCTCATAAAGTGAGACGCCGCTCTTGTGGTTGGGTGTGGTGTGTTGATAAATAAGCCGAGGGACACTGCTCCTATATTTACATAGATGTAAGATTAGTTGGTCCCTTGATTGAAACGCAAAGGAACACTTGGTAGACTAATCCCTCATCCTCATCCCCCCCATAAGGGATATTATAGTCATCCCATGGATGTTGGTGAAGGTTCCATGTTTAGAAAAATATTGCCCTGTTCACAGGCACAAGACGAGTTTGAGGACCAACAAACCCAAAGGCCCTGTTTGTCCGCGAGAAAAGACCTCTTTAGGAAAGTAATGTCAGGAGGTTGAAGCCCTGCCGAAAGTTGGGGTTACATACATATTCTTATTATTATTTTATTATTGGGGTTGGTTCACCTCGTTCCTGGTCGTATACTCCGTACTGTGTGCGTAAATAGACATGCGTTTGAGAGGTATTGTATCTATGTCAGCCTCATCCTGCATATATAAAAGAATCAATCAATGCATTGTTGCACCGTAGCAACATAGGAACGACAAGGAGTTAGTTATGTAGCCCAATAGAAGGAATAATGGCTTTTTTACTGTTATTTATTTTAAATAGAAACTCGCAGGATTGGGAACAACTCAGCGCAAAGATCGCAGCATAAGGAGAGAAATCCCTCCGTTCCTCCCCGTCTCCCTTGAAGCCAAGCCCGCCTGGATCGAAGCGTCTCACCTTCTAGCCTCTAGGGGCCTCTACTGTGTAGTAACTGCGTACATCAATCGGTTTTGGGCGACGGCTTGTCACAGAACTTGCGCCGCTGGATGTTTCGAGTTTCGGTTGGAGCCAATAAGGGTGCGCTGCTGATCTTTGTTTTACCTTTGCTTGGGCGTCCAAACTACAACCCACCACCGCTGCTTCAACCTCACCTCTTTGCAGCCCAACAACTGCCCCAGAGTACGGTGTCTTTCATCCACTTGCAGCTTTTGCAACTGTCGTTCTCTCTCGAGGCTATTTCGAGGTGTTGCTGAACCCTGAGGTTGTTTGCTGATTTTGGGTTGTTTCCAGTGTGTGCAGTGTCTCTGTTTGTTGATCGCTGCCGCTCTCAGGGCTCGTTCGTTCGTTGTCTTCCACCCCCCCACCAGGACAGCCAGCCTCCAATCCGACATTATTTTGATCTCACCCCTACACTTCTTCCTGGCTTTGAAATTCGACTTATATCCGGTATCGCAGGACTTCTATCCCCGGCCTTCATGAAGTCTTTCGTGGCCGCTTATTAAGAGCCTCTCTCCAGATATCGGACCGCGGTCCTGTCTCGATGTCAACGACTCTTGAACATATCGATTGGGTAATTTTTTTTCTTCAGGAACAAACATAATTTTGAGGTATGTCCCTATGATTTATCTCAGGCGTAAAAAAGAGCTGCGTTTCTGGTTCAAAAAATTAACCGTTGCCGTGCAGGTTCCTCTTTTAAATATCTGCGCTGCTATCTCAACCACTCCCTAACGCATCCGAACTTTCAGTAAAGTATTTAATTACCGCAACCACCGGCGAATGTGCACCACGAACCGTATACTAACTCATCGCACTTTAGACTGGCGTTAACACTCCCAGTCCGCTTCAATATATTCTCGTCGCTCTTCTTGTTTTGGAATTTTTTGGTCCGTTAAACCTCGGGGTGCGGAACGATGTTGAGCTCCCAACCCCAATACTCTGCCGGATTACCACTACACACCCCATCTCAACTACCGTCATCCTTATCTACTTCCTATATGTCTTTACCGTCCCATAAATCGGGTCTTCCCACGGCTACTCGCGATGGCCCATTCTCTAGCCCGACAGAATCTGAATTCTCCGATGGGTATGATGGGATGGACTCTGTCCGGTGGGTTAATATCTCATTCGACAGAGATTACTTTCGACCAAGACTAACAAGCTGTAACACAGGTCCTGGGATGAAAAAAAGGTAATAGATTGGCTGCATAGCATACGCTGTGGACAATATGAAGCGCTGTTCAAAGGTATGGGAAATTCCGTTCATTGCCTTGGGCATGACCATACTCCGTATTGCTTGCACCATCATTTGTCTTCTAACACACTTGAAATCCTAGCAAACCATTTTAATGGCGATAATCTCCTTGACTGCGATCAGAAGATTCTACAGGAAATGGGTATCAAGAAAATCGGAGACCGAGTGCGGATTTTCGTTGCGATCAAACAGCTCAGAAACAGGAATGTATCGAATCGCAAAAAGCGGAATAGGGTAAGATATATTTGCACGAGTCCTGGTAACTTTTTTGCTTATCAGTATATTTCAGGATTCGTTAGCTGCCCTCGATTCTGCCCAGTTTACCCCATCCTCTTCTGAATCTCCCCGCGCAGCAAATTCTAGACAACATGCGGGGGGAAATCGTCGATGGTCTCGACATGTCGACCTTCCATCCCTTACAGGCTACAACACAAGCTACACAGCATCAGGAAGAGTTTCATCCAGGCCTTCTTCGCCTCCTGCAGATTCCGACCGCGGCCTACGGTCATATAGGTATCCAGGTGCTAGTACGATGGAAAGTTCCCGGAGGGATAGGGATCAAGGTTCGAACTACTTCAATTATTACTCCAATTCTACTTCTTCTAACTCAGGGATTCCAGGAGACGTTCCCCAGACCGCCAGAGCAGCCATGCACATTAGACAAAATCCCAGCATGGATGGAATCACCATGGGATCACTTCCACCCAATTCACCAGTGATTCGAGTAATACATTCAGGCGGTCAGACAAAAGTCTTGAATATAAAGCATTGCAAAACCCCCGAGGATATTATCATTTGCGTTCTAAGAAAACTCCTCCTTCCAGAATCCCACTATAAGAACTACTGTTTTTATGTGCTCGACGGCTTAGATCCTAACCCAGACAACTGCCGTCGCTTGTCTGATTCAGAATTGCTGAAGATATGTGATGGCCTCCATAGATCTGAGCGTGGTCGGCTGATTTTGAGGAAGATTCATGCTGGCGAGCCGGAGCCAGAGGAACTCCAGAGGGCAGCTCAGATTGCTCTTGATGAAAGCCAAACGGCACATTTGAATGCTCTTAGCGGCACCAATGTACGGAACCAGATTAAACTCCAAAAACTCACCGGCGAATCATGGCATAACATCCGACAACCTTTGTCACCCTTATCAGCCACCGACCGCAATAGAGAGGAGTTCCAACGGCAAACACCTTCCGAACGACACCAGGCTGCGAAGTTGCGGTCATTTTTCGGTGCCCGGCCGCCTAGTGAAATGATTATCCACGAACTCACCTCGTATTTCCCAAGCCACCAGAAGGAAGACATTGAAAAGACGATGCGATTATCCGTGCGAAGATCACAACGTATGAGCCGTGCTGCAAGTCGATTGAGTGTTGTTAGCAACCTTAGTTACGCCTCGAGTTTGAAAGATGCACCACCCATCCCTAGTATTGCGGACACCTGGTTGACAGGAAATAATGGGTCTGCAAGGCCTGCGAGGCCGTTATCTGTTTCCAAATTCAACTTCCCACCCCAGATGTCGTTCCGCGATTCCGTAGCATCTTCACTCCAGCCACTTCAAGAGGAATCACCCATCGAACCTAACCGAAAATCCTATGTTTCCTTTGATAGTGGTTCTGACCACACTTCTGGAGAGACTGATCGTCAGACTTTCCTGGATGAGACAGTTAGCCTCGCTGCCACCGATGGTGCTGGATCAATTAACGAACGACTTAGCATGATAGTAGCAGAAGATGGGGAGGAAGAGGATGATGGATTGGCTGCTTTCCTGGCGGGTGACAATTTCGGGAACAAAAACTGGATGAAAGGATCTCTAATTGGTGAAGGATCATTTGGAAGTGTCTTCCTAGCTCTCCATTCCATCACTGGAGAACTCATGGCTGTCAAGCAAGTAGAGCTGCCATCCGCCACCAAGGGGACAGAGTTTGACCAAAGGAAGAATAGCATGGTCACCGCTCTGAAGCACGAAATCGACCTACTCCAGGGCCTGCAACATCCAAATATCGTGCAGTATCTAGGAACATCCACTGACGAGCACCACCTCAATATCTTCCTTGAGTACGTCCCCGGAGGCTCCATCGCCATGATGCTCAAACAATACAACACCTTCCAGGAGCCGTTAATCAAGAACTTCGTCCGCCAAATATTGGCAGGTCTCTCCTACCTGCACAGCCGCGACATCATCCACCGGGACATCAAGGGTGCCAACGTCCTCGTCGACAACAAGGGAGGCATCAAAATCTCCGACTTTGGTATCTCCAAGCGCGTCGAGGCTTCGACCGTGCTGGGAAGTGGTGCCAATCTAGGCGGCGGCGCCGGCCATCTACATCGCCCCTCTCTCCAAGGTAGTGTATACTGGATGGCACCCGAGGTCGTGAGACAGACTGCTCATACGAAGAAAGCCGACATCTGGAGTCTAGGATGTCTCGTCGTTGAGATGTTCATTGGTGCCCACCCATTCCCCGATTGCAGTCAGCTGCAGGCTATTTTTGCAATTGGCAGTAATCAGGCACGTCCGCCACCGCCAGAAAATGCTAGCAAAGAGGCCATGGCGTTCTTGGATATGACGTTTGAGATTAATCATGAAAAGCGCCCCAGTGCGGATGAGTTGCTTAGCAGCCCATTCTTGTCACAGGCGATGCCTTAAAAATATCCAATGACCGTCAAGAAGCTGGCGTTTACGCTTGGGATATGATTCATGTCTTGGTTCTATTGTCGTTTCCGTATTCTTTCCGGTTTTCTCTCACATTTTGGAACGATTCTCGCTCCTAGTCGGAGCAATTGATGCTACTGATTGGATGGGGTTTATGAAAAATTCTCTGTTCCGCCCATATAAATGACCCCCTGCTTCTCTATCATCGATACCACCCATGCATGCTCTTTCTGTCCACTCCATTCACTCTAGCTGGTCCTAGCCTGTTTGCTTTAATGTATATTGTTCTCTGCATTCAATCTCCCTCCCAAGCAACATTGACCGTCATTTTCACCACAGAAAAAAATTTTTGGATGCATTTTTTCCCCCTTCTGCTCCTTTGCTCTTTATGCTACTGAAGTTAACATTAAGCGGCACTTTTTCTTTCTGGTATTTCCAATTTATTTCTTCGCTTCTCATTTCCATTCATCTGCATCGGGACTGGGTTCGAGAAGGGGAGCGTGTCGTTCCTTGCGTAATTGATTAGAAGGTTGCATACATTTTTGCCGCTGATGATAGTAATGAGAGCGATGAAACTAGCAGAGACCTTGTCAAGTTTCTGTTTACTTCAATCCTGTTATTTATATATACATTGGTTATTCGAATATGAAGTCCTGTTCTTTTTCCATTTTCGTAATTTGCAGTTATGCCAAATATGGATGGAATAACTAAACCTCGTTAGGAAGTCCCCGCCTAAGTAAAGAAAAGCTATTGAACAAGTCATTACTTTCGAAAACGAGCACCCTAAGATCGTGCATGGCATATGTGGTGGATAATAATAAAATGTAGAGAATGGTCAACAAACAAACACGAAGGGCATCATATTTATAAAAGTACATGTCACAGGAGGGAACAACGGTCTAAATAAAAGGAATATTGTAGATAAAGTAACCACAAACAAACAAACGCCAGCATTCCCTCCGAGTGCGCTCCCATTCACTCTAATCAGCTTCTAATCTACATATTTACCATAGAATGGAATGCCCATTGCGTTGAGGAGGAGTCGGGCGTCCTTGTCTGTTTTTGCAGTCGTGTGAATGGTTATGTGGCAACCGGGTATCATGGCTGGTGGGTACCTATAGTAACAGAAGAGAAGCGAGTCAGATATTTGCACTTTCCAGCAAGAGAGAGCCCAAGGAGGGCGGATATTTCGGAAGTGGAGAGGGCTTTGAGACGTACATATCGTAATTCACCTCGATCTCCGGGAACAGAGCCACCATGTCCGGTTCAAGGCCAAACGCAATGTTTCCGCTGCTATCACCACTGCTCCCCTTGACACCTTTCCAATCCTTAATCCTCGGCATCACCACGTCCACCAACTTTCCAAAGAAATGATACATGTCCTCGCCCTTCAGCTCGGCCGTAACGGAAATGTATGATTTACCAGGCACAACTCCCCACTTGGCAACGTTACCCTTCATCTTATGCGTCTGCACACGAACATTAGATATGGCCTGTATAGCCATACCAGCCACATGCAACGGCGCGGAACCCTTGTCTATAACTTGATTCACATAGCTGTGAATTGTGATCTTGTCGAGTTTTGGAATGTTGCGGAACGTTATGGGCTTGCGGAGAAGGCGGAGGACGTCGCCTCCTCGTGGTCCACGGAGTGGTCGGTTGGCATGATACGGGGAACTGTCGTCCCAGCCGCGAAGGCGCCGTGGGACTGGGGGTGGCCGAAATCCGGGCGGGTTATGTACGTAGCAGAGTGTGAGGATATCGTGGGATATGGTAGATTCATAGGTTTGTTCGACTCGGGGGAGGGTAAAAGGGCCAGGGATGAATTCACGGGATGCGGGGTCCCAGGCTGGAGGTGGACGATGGGGATGGAGAGGGCCGCGGTCATATTTTGGAGGGCGGAATTGGTAGCTATATCGGCATGTGTGAGAAATAAGGATAATAAGTAGAGAAAGTAAAGGGAGAAAATAGCGCTTGAAGTTTAGGAAGTGATTGCTGGGCGGAATATGCGAAAGTCCCAGGGGGTCCCATGATTTTGGTACAGTCAAAAGAAAATCCAAAAGCTTACCGACTAGGAGGTAATGGCTTCTTGCGTGCTTTGCTTCTTGCTACAGGATCAAAGGCTTTGATTTCGTCTTCTGCTAGGGAAGAAGATCGAGAGAAGCTTGAGTTTGTGTCGAGATCATCTGTGATAGTTTCGGGCAGGGCGGCAGATGACACATTGCGACGGCATGATGGCGTCCGGGAGCTGGGTATAAATACAAGGGCTCTGGGGAGCACCCTGGAAAATTGCATTGACGGTTCGCAGAGAGCCATTGGTGCCGTGTTGGTTGTGAATTGCTCCCCGTGATTCGGAGTTCGCGATATCGAAAGATTTGCGGTCGACAGAATTTACTGTTGGCCCTTACGGCCGTTGCGGTTAGCGATCCCACTAGATCACGTGACCCACCACTATAATATGTTCCTGTAGATAGATCTATCAATACAACCTTCAACTATCCTACAGGTTATAGCCTGGATGGCATGTTTTTCTTTTTAGAATGTTGAACCAACATTTTTGACATGAATAGTTCATCTTTTTTGAAAAGACTCTTACTCTTTATTAGAGATATTTCATTTTCTCTGAATCTGTCAGTCAGTGAATTTATATACTTTATTTTTTTTAAGAAAGCATGTTCTTCATTGTGAAGAATATCACTTTTTATCTTTTTTTTTTACACATCTAGAAGAAGCAGAGTCATCTTAATATAAGTAATACATCTGTTACTTCAGAGTTCAGCTCAAGACTCAGAATCACATACTTTACTAGACAACTCATTGATAGAATAATTACTTATTATAAGAAAGCTTCTGACTTGTAAGATGAGACTAAGATTAGTTTTCATCAGAGTATGAAATTTAATAATGAGATAATGAAGAAACTTCAGAATAAAGAAAAGCAGAGTTAATTTTAATATTCATCTACAGAATCTGTTCATTTCAATTTATTAAATTCTTCATTATTTCTCATCTCTGAAATGCTGACTTTTAATGATGATCTGAATCAATCTATCTATTACACTGCAGGCAATCTTATGAATCTTATACAGATAATACTATAGAATCAGATAACTGTAGCTGAAACTACTCAACATCTCACTACATCTGTATAAAGAGATACTATGAGAGATGAGTTACAGAAATATCAGAAGAAAGTTAAATATACACTAGATATTAAATCAGTGATTATATTTAATAGCTCTAATTATAAAGTCTGATATATTAATATATTAACTGATGTGAAAGTTATTGATGAAACTAACATTCTATTAAAAACTTAATGAGAATTCTCTTTTATACATTATATCAATTCTGAGAAGTGAAGAATTTATTTCAAGTCTCTATATAGATGTATACTATTAAGTCTTGTTGAAAATGTTTGAATTACTATTAAAATCTTAGAAACTGATAATACTACAACTCTGTGAGATAAGATCAATATTAAATATATAATATCACTGATAGAAGAATAAGTTAATATCTTTAAGAAATTGATAAAATTATAAGTTAAGAAGAATGATTATCTTACTTTTCAGAGATATTTTTACTATCTTATTATCTGTTATAAGAAGCTCTGTCAGAGTACTGAGAATGTATATCATAATCTTTTTCTCAACAATTTACAAGATTATCAAAGACTGTTTATCAAGACATATTTGAATGAGTTTTTCTTCACTGATCAGAGACTCATTATTAATATTAATATTAATAATTTGATGAAGTAACTGATCAATCATATATTCAAGAAGATTATCACTGAGTGAAAAAAGCAGTCTCAGACTGATTCTGTGACTGTGAAAAAGAACAAAGATAAGAATAAAGATGAGAATAAAAGCACATCTGTATAAAAGTGCACTCACTGCAGAAGATATAAATATACTGTTGATAGATGTTTCATCTTACACTCTGATAAAAAGAAAAAGAAGGATGACAAGAAGAATGATAAGAAGAAAGAGAAGAAGAATGACTTGATAAGTTCTCAATCAGCAGTAAATACAGTAATTACAAAGATTGAGTTCTACTTCTTCTTCACAGTTACTGAAAAATCATTCTCTAGATCTTGATATTTAAACACATGTGTAAGTCTGAATATGACAGATGAGCTTCATTCTTTTTTAAATATCAAATCTTTTAATAATAATATCTCTGTTAATTCTGCAACTGAGAGAACTGAGTTTGTTAAGAAAATTGAGACTGTTATTTTAAAGATTGAGAGTGATAATATTAACTTGCAGAATGTTCACTATATTTCTAATATTACAGTTAATCTGCTCTTATTTATAAAGCTTAAAAATCAGAGATTCTGATTTATATTATCTTTCACTATTTTCTCATTTTTCATTTACAGAGCTCTGAATGATGTTATTTTTCATGCAGTTCAGACTGCTCAGAACAATATATATAAGATCAATGAATAAGAGTTCAATGAGAATTTTAATTATCTGAACAAGACAGTCAAGTATATTGTGATGTTATATAAGTATAATTTTAACTGAAAAGTTAATCTTTCTGTGGCGTGCTTCCGCCCCCTATTCAAGTCAATTCTCTATTCAGCTCTAGCTTCCACTTCATCCCTTGCTGTTTTCTGAAGCTTTCACTTCTATCTTCTCCCTCTGTTCTTTCCTTCATATGTGATCACTTCTTCTATGAGAGCTTTCACTCCTTCTCTACAGAGCCTTCATTCTTTTCTTCATATGTAATCACTTCTTCTATGAGAGCATTCACTCCTTCTCTACAGAGCCTCTGTTCTTCTCTTCATAGACAATCACCCCTTCTACAAGAGCTAATCTCTATAGAACAATTACTGTATATATAAGAGTGTACACTCATCTCCCATCTTTAAGAGAATAAGACAAGTTTTTACCCTTATATCTGACTCTATGTAGCAGTGTACACTACAATTTGGTAGCATGTCTTGTTAAGAATCAAGTTCTTCTAGCCTCTTTAACTTCTGCTCTGTTCTTGATATATATAGCACTAGTGATTGAACTGGGCTGCAGATGCTGAGAATTGACTAGCTGATAATCAGTCTAATTAGTTACTCTATCTTCTTTCAACACTGCAGCTAGTGATTGGTCTGGCCTGCAGTCATTTGAATCTACTCTATTTAATACTACAGCTGGTGATAGATCTGACTGATGATTATTTGAGCATCTTTCACTTCAGAACATCATAGCACTAGTGATTGGTCTAGAACATGATCACAGTCACAGTAAACTCATCTTCACACTCTTATACAACTTCATCAGCTTCATCATAATAATGAAGCAGAACAGATGAATCACTCAGAGCAGCTCTCATCAGTCACTCTCTTTCACTGAATCAGACAAGCTTATCAGCAGAATCAAATGACTCATCTGAGAATTCACTGATGAACCTGACTCAGAACAAACTTACTCACAAGCAATGACTGAAAAGCATGCTATTATGATTGCAGAAGTCTGGCAGAACACAGACAGACAGTATAAGAGTGTCAAAAGCCAAGTGACACTGTATGATCATATCAAAGCAGAAGGTATTCTTGTGAGTGTATCAGTCAGATGTTACAACAACATAAAAACAGTTCTTAACTTTACTTCAGTAGCAGAATGAAAGAATGTCATTGATCTCTGATTACAGGCCTTTCACACAGACATCACAAAGAATACTAAGAAGAGAGGTTCAATAGTCTCAAGCTTTCATGAATTCAATCACCAGAACTGTGCTCCTTCTGATGAAGCAGCAATACTAGATATAATCAAGAAGTTAGAACAGCTAGAAGCCTGACTGGCCTGATAAGAGAGTGAGCTCAATGAACATGAACATCAGCTTGATCAGTGAAAGAAGCAGTTGAATGAGTGTATCACTCTCATTGACAAATGTGTTGACAAACTTCAAGAGAATCTCAAACAATTGACAGACAGAAGAAGCAGGTTGATGAAAGCATGAAATAGCTTTCATACTGAGGAAGCCGCGCTCACTGCTCAAAGACAGGAGCTGAATCATCATCAGCAGACAGACTGTTCAGCCCAGATTGACAGAACAGATATCAGAGCTGACAATTCTCTCAATGAGTCTGCACAGCAATTAGATGCCTTCTTCAAGAAAGGCTTCAAATCATCTCCTAGAACCTGATAAACACTGACAATTTCACAGAGACTGTGCAGTGCTGAAGGCAGAACACACTGTCATAATCTAACAAGAGACAGGATTAATTTCCTCAGAGAAGCTGACACTGTGTGTTTTACTTATGACTCAGAGGGAAACTGAATGCACAGGAATCAGATACTCATTCACAACAATCTTGATTTTTCACTTGATAGTGAACTCTGTTCATCTGTATGAAGTGATAATAGGCCAGCGAGATTACAGGCTGATGACATCATGCTATTCAACTCAGTGAAAATGAACATAATGATGTTTGTCAGTTGCTTGAAATTCATTGTCACATAGAAGAGAGATGATGTGATTCTTCACATATTTCTTCTGTATCTGAAGAGTCAGACATTGGAATGGCATAACAGTCTGTCTATTGAAATGAGAAAGGATATGAACACCTTCCTCTCTACCACTGTCAATGAGTTAAAACACGAGTTCCAGCTATCAGAAGAAGAAGCTTGAATGAAAGCTCAGACTCTGCATTTTTTCTTTGAGAAGTTAAACAAACTGTTTCTGGCATTATACATCTCATAGAAGATTAACTTACTGCAAGCCATCACAATCTCTGACCCTGTTATGATAAAGAGGCTCTTGTGAGAGAGTTTAGAGTTCAATCTTTTCTTAATCACACTGCTCATTTCTGCTGAACAATTGAATGACTTTCAACAATGAATTAGAGACAATGAGTCAGCTGCTCGACACACCTGAACTGATTGAAAGACTCAATTCACTGACTACATGCATAGTTCCAGACATTTTGAACAGAATAATGATCACTGTCTGTATCACATCTCTCTGTTCAAGCAGACAGAAGCTACAAAGTCATCTGTGTCTACTGCAGAGACAGCAGTGATTCTCATGAGTGCTCTCACAATGAGTAAGTTGCTGATTCAGTGTACAATAGAAGGAGGAAGACTGCTGATGCTCACAGCAGAGTGCTACATCTGCGGAGGCTCTCATTATGCCAACTGCTGCCTCAAAAAAGAGAAGAACAGCAATTGTCTGACAAATCAAGTCAAACTGAAGAGTACTGAGAAAGATGATGATAAGCTGCTGAATCTAGATCTCAGTCTAGAATCTAGACTCTAGATTCTGACAGTGAGTCAGAAAAATAACCAGTGAGACAGGCACTGAGAGGCTCACCTCATCTACAGACATTTTCTCAGATGATTATTGAAACATCTTTAATGCTGATATATATGCAGTTGCGGCGTGTGATATCTCTATAAGTGATCAAGAATACATTAGCAGACTACAGTATTTGTCTTACACCTTTCTCATCATTCTCATCATTACACTACAAGGCGATCTCTCTGTTTGCATGAATACAGATGTAGGTATATTACTTATCAATGCAACAATAGCAAACCTATTCTTTCTCCATTGTTGATCAACCCCTATGCTGTATGATCAACATGTGAATATTTGAGAAGTTGGCTTGAAAGCTGATGAATCAAACCTATTCATAATAACAGGCCTTATCTTGAGAGTGGATGACAATTCTCTTTTCATTGTTGAAGACAAATTTCACTTAGTGTGATATCTTGAATGCAATATAATCATAGCTAATGATGTATTATCATCAGTGAAAGCAACTATCAATGTTCATAGCAAACTTGTTACATTTCACAGAAGATATTCTATAAATGTCAAGATCATCAGAGGTGCTATCCGCGCAGATAGACACCTGTCAAACCCACAGCTGCCTCAGCAGTGAAAGAAGATTGTCATTTATGCTGTCAATACTGACATCATTCATCATTCTGACTGAGAAGACTCTCTGTTTCCTACCTTGTACATTGAATTACATTTGATGAATGTGGAAGACCAGAATAATTCACTTCAAATTCCCACAGCAGACACTCTCATCAAGCAGATTTAAGTGAACATATCAGATCACTGAGTAGCAGAAGATCAAGCAGTCATTCAAGCAATCATTAATCAACATCACAAACTATTTAGCTCCAGCCTAGGCTTATTTTCAGACAATGTTAAGATGCCACTGCAGTTCATTGATGAGAGCAACTTTTCCAGCCTGAAACAGAGATTCTATTCTCTGTCTCAAAGAGATTGCAAAGTCACTGACCAGATCCTGAACTCACTTCTGTAAGATAGAAGAATTGAATGTGTTTTCCTTAGAGACAGAAACCTCATTGCTTCGCCCACCTTTGTGATCTGGCTTAGAGAGAAGCTGAGAGTGATGATTGATTTGTGAAAAGTAAACACATACTTACTCCTCAATGCATACTCTCTACTGACATAACAAGATATGTTGCAATCACTCAGTGATTCTACAGTATTCTTATTCATGAATATTCATCAAGGCTTCTTTCAACAAGCAATTGAACAGAGTAATCATTTCAAAACCATGTTTATGACCCTGCACTGAGATCTTGAACATTTTACAGTTGTCATAATGAGGTTGACAATCTCATCTGAGTTCTTTCAACAGTGTATGAAGGAGATTCTAGCGAAATTTCTATAGCAATTTGCATTAGTTTATGTAGACAATATCATCATCTTCTCTCACTCACTGAATGAACATCTTCATCATATGCAGCAAGTCTTCACAGCTCTCAAGATGTCTGAAGTAATAATGTTATTAACTAAATGTCATTTCACATATCTCTCAGTGTGTTTACTGAGTCATCATGTCAGCTGACTAGACATATCTACTTAAGAAGAGAAAGTAGCTGCTATTGCTAATCTAGCCTTCTCTATAACACTCAGAGAACTAGAAGGAATTGTCAGCCTCTTCAATTATTATCACAATTTTGTCAGTTTTTATGCAGATCAGATGAAAGCATTAGAGACTCTCAAGACTAAGTTACTGTATAATAGTTCAAAAACAGGCCAGAAAAGAGCATCATATGCAGCTAAGACTAAGTTGATGAGATTTGAGAACTCACTGCAGTTCCATGCTCTGCTCGCGGAAGCCAGACATTCATTTGACATGGTAAAGCAAGCCTTGATGAATGCCCTCACCTGAGCATATTCTGACTTTAAACATCTCTTCATATTGTACATGGATGTCAGTAAGCAAAGAGATATCAGAGTAGTTCTACACCAAGTTGAAATGAATAACATTGAAAGACCTGTTCTATTTCTCTCTCACTGATTAAGTGCAGCTGAAAAGCACTACTGAGCAACTGAATTGAAGTGTCTTAAACTCATATGAGCCCTGTGGAAATTACTGCAGTATTTAGATGATGAGTTTACAGTTATCATGAATCATATTACTCTTGTGTTCACTTTTCAGTCACTGACAATAGGTCATCATAGCAACTGACTGACAAATTGAGTCTTAGTTCTAAGCTCATATCTTTCACAGATGACAATTCACTATCATAAGAATGCTGCACATGCTAATGCTGACATTCTATTCAGATTGCACTGTCTAGATAATGATTCAGAAGAGATTCTCTCTGAAGAGCAGAAAAAAATCTGTCAGATCATCATCAATCAGGCAGATGAACTGATGACAGACACATCTTCAGTGAAGATATGTATGATTTCAACTACAGTGATAGAGCTTACTGACAAATTCAAAAAGCAACTACACTGAGATATTCTCTGTGACCCGGCATTGAGAAAGGTCTTTCACAAGGCCAGTCAGAAAGAGTGATACCAGTCATTTACAGTGCAAGACAGGCTATTATTCTTTGAAGAATCACATCTCTGTATTCTCAAATTGCTGATGTGAGATGTCATCTGTATGTGTCACAACATGGCAGGTCACCCTGATCTTCATCAAATGAAAAACCTTATTCACCAGTTCTTCTTCCTTCCCCATGCCTGAAAGAGAATCCTGGACCATCTATCACAATGCCTCAATTATTAACTAGTCAAATCACTGAATCACTCACCAGGGGGCAAATTACATCTCATCTCACTCTCAAAACAGCTGTTTGAAGTTCTTTCAATTGATTTTATTACAGGATTATCTGTGAGTAACAATCACAACACTATATTAACAGTCACAGATAAATTTTTGAAAGCAGTAATTCTAATTACAGAACAGAAACAATGAGATGCTTCATAATGAGCAGAAGACTTCTATAAGAAGATGATCTGCTGCTGACAGCTCTCACTGGTGATTATTTCAGATAGAGATTTCAAATTTACATCATAATTTTAAAAGTCAGTTCTTCAACTCATGAGAATTAAGGCATGAATGACAACTGTCTACAATTCTCACTCAAACAGTCAAAGCAAGTAAATCAATCTCACAGTTGAAGTCACATTGTGAACACTTCTTATAGATGAATATGAAGCAAATTGAACTGCTCTGCTTAAACAAGTGAAAAGAGTGTTGAACTCAGTAGCTGCACAGCCAGCAATGATCTCTCTCTTTGAATTGCTCACAGGTGTAAAGTCTAGATGACTGTTATTAAACAATGAGAAAGCTCTGCTAGATGTAGCTGAGTTCATCACTGCATAAGATGCAGTGCAGCAAGACATTCTTGACTCATACACTCTGGCAAAAGCTAGAATGACTGAGTTCTTTGACTGATTTCATTCTCAATCAACTATTCAGATTGATGATTGAGTCTTCTTGAACCTCACTCAAAAAGCTCAAAAGAGCTACACATTAAAAGAGACATTCAAGCTATCACTCTTATGAGTAGGCCTATTCCACATTCTCCAGAAAGTATCAGATACTGCATTTCAATTGAAACTGTCAGCTGGTTGACAAATGTACTCAGTAATCTCCATCATTCACCTGAAAAAGACTGTGTTAACAGAAGTGAATATGAAGCACTCATCATCAGAATCAGTACTTGTTGATGATTAGTCACAATTTGAAGTTGAAAACATCATAAGAAAGCACACAGAGAATGGCAAGACTTATCTTCAGATTAAGTGAAAGAGATATGAAGACCTGATCTGAAAGCCTCTTGAAGTCATTGCATAAGACATCTCACACCTGGTCAAGGCCTTCATGATCAAGAAGCCTCGCGGTCGGCTGAGTAAATGATAGAAAGAAAAGTAAAATAGAGACAGAGTGAAAGAAAGAAAGGAAATATATTACAATCTAATTTTAGCTATTGAATGAGAAAATAAAGAAAACAAGAAAATCATCATCTTCTGCTCTTTTCATCATTTCATCTCACCTCTTCTTATCAATCATCTTCAAGCTCTTCCTGCAGCTTGACCTCCTGCTCAGCAAGACATGTGTCTCAAAATGCAACATTCACTGACAATCTCTTATTCACAAGATCACTGAAACACACCCTGCTGAGCAACTTAAAGAAATGATTATTGGTCACAGTATTCCCTGCAGCTGAAACCACATTGATGAACTCAGCTATCTTATCCAGTTCCTTTCACACGGCCTGAACAGCATTTAGATTATACTTGTCAAGATTAGACAACTGCCTCAGCACCTTCAGATCTTGAGCTCTACAATTGATCATACAGTCTTCAGAAGACAGAATCAACAACTGTTGCACACCACTCATCTTGACCTTGTTGACCACCTTAGCAGGGGTTGAACAGCTTGTCTTTGTCTCATTACTCACCTTCACAGGTGTTGAGATGTCTCACTCACTGATTTGAACATGTTTCAAGAGTTTCAGTGCAATCAGATCTAACACCTTACACTTGAAAGACATAGGCATTTTCTTCATTGAAACTATAGTTGAATTGTCCTCCTTTCTTGTATCACTGATCTCAATGATGTTATCAACATCTGTCTCCTCAGCTGCAGCCTTTTCAAATCCAGACACACTTTCTTTAAACAGCAAGTTATTCATGTTTCACCTGAGTTCATACCAGCTACAGCAATTTAAAGAGCAGCAGGATCTCTTATTTTCTCACTGACAGTTGGTACAAGCATCATGCCCTTGCTGCATCTGTTTGTCATCTGCAGAGACAATCACACATTTCTCAAATCACTTCTGACTCTTCACATAACACTGACATGACATAGAAGCTAATTCTCCATGAGTCTGCAGAATAATAATATTCTGATTAGCAGAACTCTTAGAATTGATGATCTGTGAAGTGATTAGTTCATCATTATTCATTCATCAGTGTAACTTTCACTTAACAGATAACTATCTCAAATCTTTAATCAATTGCTGACTGAATAAAATGAAAAATTCATGATTGACAAATGACATCTTCTCACTATGTCTCATGAGTCTTTCAATGATCAAGACAGCATCTGCAAGCCTCTTCACAGTCAGATTCTGCATGATTGACATGCTCAGGTGAGCAAGCTTGTCATCCTGCTGAAAGTGCAAGTCAGTCTTGTCATCATGATGCAGGTGTCTCATACATGCTGTGTCATACAGTCAAGGCATCTGATCACTCTTGACATTCTTCTTCCATCTCAACTTCTTCAAAATATTGTCACTCAGGGTCCCATGTTGCTTTCAACTAGCTCTTCAGCACTTCTTATTCTCTTCTGTCAGTGACAGTTCTTCAGCATCTGTATCTGCTCATTCAGCTTCCACTTTCAGTTCTACTTACAGCTCTTCATCATCAGCTGCTCCTGCAGCAGCCTTCTGACTCCCTCTCTTCTCATTTATCTCAACATCTTCTTCTGAAAACTGGCGTGTGAACAGTCACAACTTTTTCAAATGAGCAAACAGTGTTATAAGCTTTCATATCACAGTCTTAGACTCTTCTTGACTCTTCAAGCTTCTGCTATACAATTCATCTGTTGACTCTTCTGCAGCAGCATCATGCAGCCTAGCTGAGCAATGATGAGACATCACTGCCTTTTCTTTATCTTGATCTTTGATCACTTCATACATGAAAAGATAAGTTAATAGTGTTGAAAGCTCATCTGTTCAGAATTCTAACTCTTCATCTTTATTATTTTCTTTCACCTCATTCTCACCTGTTCTCTCTTCATCAGTCTTCTCACCCGCCTTCTCTTCTCTATCACTCATATGAAGAAGGGCATCACACTCCTTCTGACTTAACAACTGAAACAATTTCTCTAAGATCAAGGCCTTTTTCACCATGCTCACTGCGCCTGTCTTCACGACTGTTAACTTCTTCTTGAGACTCATCATTTCTGTGATCTAATCTTCCATATGTTGTGATTTTCACTAATTCCGCTATGTTAAATTTTAGTGAGATGTGTGAGAAATAAGAGAAGAATAAGGAGAAAGTGATTGTAATATATATATTGATGCAATCATTCATCTATATCAATCTCTATCACTCACAGAACCTTCTTCTCATCATAATGAAACTTTCATCCTCATCTATCTCATCAAAGAACCCTTTCTCATTCAAGCTTCTTATAATTTCTTTACAATCTCTTTCTTTTCTTACAGCTGTTTTTAAATTAAAGAACTTCTGTCTCTTTCTTATCATTTCTTTTCAAGTCATTCTTACATCTTTTGCCCTTTGTAGAGATAAACAATTCTTACATCTGATCACTCTTTATATGAATAAGTGATTCTATCACTCAGTCTCCTCTTTTCTATGATATCTGTAGTATATGTAAACAGACTAGCACTTCTGAATAATATTCACCTCTTTGGGCCTAGCGCCCGTGATACTCACTATCTTTTTTCAACATCATTTTTTTCTTCTCTGCAAATGCATTCTTTCAGATAGAGGGACTGTGACATACTTTCACCCCCTATTTAAGTCAATTCTCTATTCAGCTCTAGCTTCTGCTTCATCTCTTGCTGTTTCCTGAAGCTTCTGCTCCTACCTTCTCCCTCTGCCCTTCTCTTCATATGTGATCACTTCTTCTATGAGAGCTTTCACTTCTTCTCTACAGAGCCTTCATTCTTTCCTTTATATGCAATCACTTCTTCTATGAGAGCATCCGCTCCTTCTCTACAGAGCCTCTATTCTTTCCTTCATAGATGATCACCCCTTCTACAAGAGCTAATCTCTATAGAACAATCACTGTATATATAAGGGTGTACACTCATCTCCCATCTTTAAGAGAATAAGACAAGTTTTTACCCTTATATCTGATCCTACGTAGCGGCGTACGCTACACTTTCTGTGACTGCTGTCACTACTGTTAATAACATTGATTCTACAGTCTCAAATACAGGTCTCAAGAATACAAGAATATCAAAGACTCTTTTGAACTGACACTGTGATCTCAGTTACATTCATACTGATGCTATAATTGCTATAATCAAGGATTTTTATACTGAAGTCACAATTAAAGACTCTAAGACTAAGTTCTTTTATGAGAAATGTGTCAAAGCAGATATGATATGAGATTATTTGAAAACACTGATGCCTAGATCTATTCAACTCATTGAGAAGATTCATATTAATCTTGCAGATAACAGATGTATATTGAAAGACCTCTCTGATCATCTCTTAGAGTCTCACTAGAGAATTAAATACTGAATACTCATCATCTGTGATGCAACTCACTATCATTGAGTATATTTTTTAAAGTTCAAGAATGAGGCTGTTCAATACTTTGAGTTGTGACTCAGATTTATAAGTAATCTCAGATATACAGTCTCTGCTTTTCTACAGACTGATATTGATGATGTTTTCTAATTCACATATATACACACAGTTATGAATTCATATGATATTAAATGAGAATCAACAGTATCACATTCATCACATCAGAATGATGTTTCTGAATGTAAAATCTACACTATTATAAGACAGATTAAAGCTGCTCTTTTAAAGAATAATCTCTCTAAGAAGTTCTGAGCAGATGTTCTAGAGACAGTGATTATAATAATCAATAATACTTTCATATCTACAGTTCTTTACAACTCAAAATTTTGACCCTCTACTGCAGAGATTTCTGTGATTTCAAGTTTATATAAGATTTCTTGATGTGTACTTACAAATATCCCACTGAATGTAAGGCATTTTTGCTGATTAAGTGCAGAGATTTTTATTCACTTACATGAATTTCAGTAGTCTGTGAATAAGCTTTCTTCATATACTGATTTCTATTATATCATTAAATTCAGTGACATATTAATATATCATCTATAACATTCTGAATCTGATAAGATTATTGTCAGTAGTGATATGAGATTCTCAATCACTGAAAAACTGATTGTCATATCTGTGATATTCATTAATAATGCTGATGAACTGAAACTGAAACTGAAACCTGATATTCATCTGATTGATAATGAAGATGCTTCTGATATTGATGATCTGAATTTCACATAATTGTGACCTGTGAAATTGCTGACTACTTACACTTTAAGTCTTATTACAGGCAATCTTCTGAAGTTCTACAAGAATGTCATATCTTAATTAGAGAGAGTAGAAGATTATTGAAAGAAGTTTATATAATATAAGATTACTGATCTGAAGAGATATAATATATGAAGTTTGATCTCTAGATCTGATGTTCTGAGAGATAAACTGATTGCTTCAGACTGTTAAGTGTTTCTTGAGAAAGATAAATTCACAGATCTGAATACTAATTCTGATAGTATTCTTAGAAAATCACATTGAGTGATTTATAATAACTGACTTAAGAAGAGTTCTAGAGAAGAGATCTATACTTCTGTCATCACTGATACTGTCAATTGTATTCTTTTTATAATAGCAGCACTACATGATTGAATACTCTGTCAGATAAATATAGTGATAATATATCTTTATAAGTATCTTACTAAGAAGATCTATATAAGATAACTCACTGAATTTGAGACAGATTCACTGAAAACACTTATCTGCACAGTTGAGAGTAGTCTATACAGTCTGAACTCTGCAGTGAAGATCTGATATAATTACTTAACAGCTCTGTTAAGTAATCTTGAATTTACAGTCAGTATTCATAATTCAGCACTCTGATATCATATATTCAGATATCACCTCTATATGACAATCTACATTGATAATCTCAATATCATATTTGAAGCTTCTGAGAATGCTGATTGACTAGTAAGTATACTCAGTGAGAAATTAAAAGTCAAGAATCTATACCAGTTAATCAAGTATTTAGATATGAAGATCAATTATTCAGATAAGAGAATTAATTTAATACATTATCAATATATTAAATGTCTTATTAAAGATTTCTATCTTGATAATACAGCTATTATCAGAATACTAATGAAGAATGAATTTCATATTGATGATTTCTCTATATCTGAAAAAGAGACTGATTTCATAATTCAGAAATATCAATATAATATGAATTACTTATAATATCTTACAGTTAAAATACATTCTGATATCACTTATACTATTTCACTACTCACTTAATAAAACATTGATTTAACATCTCAATATTGAAAGACTCTATTATATATTATATATTATTTGAAAGAGATTATAAATCTGAGCATTTTCTACAGATACAGTCTGTATAAGAGGTCTGTTTCTTTCATTTCTACTGATCTTTTCATTATCTCTGATTTTCTCAATGATTTCTATCTACTCTTCAGCTACTCAGATTCTGATTGAGTCAGTCTCTTAAATAATGATAGAAAATCAACATTCAGCTACATTTTTAAGCTCACAGATAGTCTGATTTCATGATATTTAATAAAGCAATCTTGTGTATCTCTGAGTTTCAATGAGACTGAATATATGACTCTTAGTGAGATGATTCATGAAGTAACATGAATTCAGAATCTTATAATTAAGCTCAGCTTCATTACTACATCTTTAATACAGATTCTCACTGATAATAAGAGTATCATAGATCTTATAAAGATGACAGTCATTACAGTCTGAAGTAAATATATTGATATACATTTTCATTTTTCATATTGACAGTTGAATCAGAGAATCATTGATTTAGAATACATTCTCACTGCTCAGATAACAGTGAATGAACTTACTAAATCTCTAGACAATGTGATATTTGCATGATTCATGATTTTGCTAGGTCTTACAGGCACAAAAGTTGGGAATGTTTAATTTTACATTTGTATTTGGTTTTGACAGACCATCTTGGTGGTTTGGGTGTTTTTGTATGTGATTCTTGTTATCTCGAGGGGGGGTGTTGGCCCTTACGGCCGTTGCGGTTAGCGATCCCACTAGATCACGTGACCCACCACTATAATATGTTCCTGTAGATAGATCTATCAATACAACCTTCAACTATCCTACATTTACCTAGGTAGCCCAAGGATATCACGTGGTTAGTTTAGTTAATGATGAATAAGCCGCCCCCCGTCCGCCCAAAAAGGGAAAGCGCAGTTTCCTTTGCCCGCATTCATCAGTCGCAGGCAGCGACTATAACTTGTCATATCACAAACATTCAGAAATACTTCATTATAGATTGCGATGTTATATAGTTTGAGCTCCCTGGATATTGTTCTGGTTATTGTCCTGCTTCATCCATCATTACCGGTCGATATCACAATCTTGATAGTTCTAGATCTATAAACGAACCCACCTTCCTGGAGAGGGCGTCAGCTGCGCTCTTTGGACCACGAGACAGCATCCCTCAACGTCAGACATGTATGATTCTTGCGCTTGTGGCACAATTAACTATGCAGGCTGGTGATATTGTGGCTCCTGCTGATGCATTCATTTCCTTGGAACTAGGCGGCAAGTTTAATTTCTCAGCGCGGCTCATTTTAAAGTTATGCCATGATATAAAAGTCTTGCATACATTTTAAGTTCTGTTAAAAAACGTCAATAGTCATTACCAATGTATAAAGTGTGATTGCGACTAGATCAGTCAACATGAGTGGGATTCAGAGATTTCTCTCTAAAAGAGAGAGGCGAAGCAAATCGAGGAGTGCATCACCATCGAAATGGCGAAGGATGCTGGATTCCGGTAATGTGAGTTGTACGCATGGTTTCGGGTTCCTATGGCTCTGAGCGACTTATATATCAGAAATGACGCTGAATCTTTCCTCTGAAGGATCCCGCCCCTAAATCACCCTCCCTTACACATTTAACTCTGTTCTCATCGGAGAAATCGAAACATGACCAGGGTGTTAAAATCGAGGAAGAAGACAACAAGGTTAGCACTGAGCTGCCCTCATTGTTTACTATTTTCCTAATTTGTATATTAGATCAAAGAGATACAACGGAGACTGTCGAACCTAGGAGTTGCCACCCTTGGAGAACCGCAAATACGATATGCGCTCCGGTCTAAAATCGCTTGTGGTGAGGTGAACGAAGCATACGACCTGCTCATTCTTCTTGATGATTCACTCCATGGCATCCTAAGATTTTATAATCCTTCTATTAAGTTGCTAGGTGCGGAAAATCGAAATGGCGTCACTTGCTATCTGGACGCCCTGCTCTTCGCGATGTTTGCTCGCTTGGACTGTTTTGAGGCTATCCTATACAACTCGTTCGATGATGAACCTCGACGGAATCTGTCCGTTCTTTTAAGGTTATGGGTAAATCTGTTAAGATCTGGGAAACTGATTACGACAGACTTCGTAGGTATTCTCTTTCAAATCTGCCGTTTCACGAAAACCTGCCTTGTGTTACCGCCGTTAGAAGACACTGACATGGACATTTAACAGACGAAGCAAGTACAAGATGCGCTAGCACAGTGTGGGTGGAACGCTGCTGCCCTTCCGCAGCAGCAAGATGTGTCCGAGGCATTCACATTCATCACTGAGAAGCTCAATCTCCCCCTGCTCACTTTAAAAATGGATATCTTTCATACAGGGAAAGAAGAGGCAGGTGATGACCACAAGTTTATAAATGAGCGGCTACTGGAGGTCGCAATCCCTTCTGAAACAGTTGACGGCAAGCCCATAACCTTAGAAGACTGCCTTGAAATGTACTTCAACAACCGAATTGACGTCAAGAGGTATCTAGAACGTAGAGATACAGGGATGTCGGTAAACTCAATAGATTCTATGGCGAAGGGATCGTTTGTCCATGTCGAAACAACTGACTTGGGCACATCGTCTCAAACCGCATCTCCTATTTCAGTGTCGTCTTTCTTCTCAAAATCCACGCAAGTAACCGATTCCCCTTCTCCCCTACACGAAAACCCCCCTCCAACGCGCCCAAATTGGCGCTTTCGCTCAACCAGCATAATCGAGGAACGATTCATTCCTGAGGATAGTCTCAAGGAAAATGAAGGCTCAATTAATCGAGTAACGCCGAATAAAGCCCGGAAAGGGAGTATTCGCAAAGAGGTCATGATGCCTGCTTGGCAGATATTCAGCCTGATACGTAAGTTACCTCGCGGGTAATCGCGGAATGTTTCTGATCAATTGAATAGCTTGGTACACCGATAGCACACTAAGCGACGCACAATCTGCAATTCATTTCTCCTCCCGAAGGCCTATTCTCGGAATATGCTTAAAGCGTTACTCTGTCCTTCCCAATGGAAATGCGGTGCGTCGAGATACATTCGTTGATATCCCGATCGAAATTGGACTTCCACATTTCATTCAGGATGATGAAATGGGAAACGAAGGGCCATTATACGGGAATTTCAAACTTTCGCTACAGGCTGTTATTTGCCATCGCGGGAACTCCGTTGAGTCTGGTCATTATATAGCCCTAGTGAGAGGTACCCCGATTAATGACCCCTACAAGCCGTCGGAATACTGTCGTCACTGGATGCGTTTCGACGATTTGGCCCAAGAAAGAATCACCCTTGTCGATATAGAAAAGGCGTTGGTTGACGAGTCCCCTTATCTTCTTTTCTTCCAAATATTGCCTATCGACAGTGACTCTGAAGCAGCATCGGGCAGGCGGCTATCATCTTCCAAAGGGGAGGAAAAGCTGTCTCGAAAACTATTTTATAATACAAACCCCGACGTGACAATCTCCGCACCACCTCCCGTGAATGATGCTTCTGAGATGGAATCACATGGTGCCCTTGGGAATTACAACCCCAATCATCAGTTTAAATCCTTTGGCGTGCCATCTAAAAACCCACAGGACCCTCTCCCTGCGAAAACAAAGCATGAACCAAATGTTGGTGACATCGTCAAGTCGACTTCGACCTCCAGGCCTACATCCGCAAAAGCCCATCGTTTAATTAGCCCGGGGAGGCCGTTAGAAGAAGGAGTCGATGCGCACGTTATTCATGCATCAACGGGAAATGGTGCGGCAATTACCGTTGAACCTCTCTCCGACGGAGATTTCGAAGGGAGCAATACCAGCGACTCCAGGGGTAGAAAAAGAGAAAAGGCTAAGCATGCAAAGCTATCCAAGGAAAAGATGGAGAACACGGCGAAGCAGCGAGGCCATCATACTCTAAAGAAAGGCCAAAATCCCGAACGAGAATGTATAATTATGTGAACGTAACTGTAGGCTGTTTGGAATATTTCTTTTGGTTGCATGATGATATTACCCCAAACTACCACTGGTTTGTAATGACCCGTTATGCCTGTTCCATCGTCCATGCTTGTTTTTATTGTTACCATTACTTGCATATGGCTTCCCTGTCTCTTTCATAGATGGTTATTCCTTCTAGAATTATGCCCGGCATAGGTATTTAACTACAGCGGAAACACTACCCCTATGAGGGTGTAATTTTATATATTATTTATTCAATTCAGTGGCTGTCGACTTCTAAGTTCCAGTTAAGGTTTGCCGGACTGTGTTTATGTAATCACTAGCCATCCAATGACGTTGGGGCGGTGTCTTGGCGCCATCTGCATCAAGGCAACCGAGCTCCAGCAAGAAACTTGAAAACGACTACCCTTGATATCACAACTGATATCACAATACGCGACTCGAATCCCGCAATGTTATAACTTTTGCATATTAGCGCATAATGGCGCTGGATGGATCAAGCGGCTATGTTGCTGCCAGCAGCTGGGCAAAGCTTGCTGACACCGCTACGCCTATCTTCAATGTCGAGCGGGTTCAGCTTAAGTTCTCCATAGCCACGGACTTCGTCGCCGCGCAAGTCGCGAACAACGTTCTTGTTCTTGCTTTAGCGTCGGGGAGGATTTTACGGATTGATCTAGATAATGCGGAGGATATCGATGGTAAGATAAGATACCTTTAAATTAGGCGGGCCATCCTTCACAGAAACGAGGGATATAGGACGCTAATCAGACCCCCGAACTTCCTCCACAGATATCGATCTACCGAAAAAGTCCTCAGAGATAGGCTTGATTCGACGCATGTTCCTCGATCCCTCGGCTTCACATCTTATCATCACGACTACTCTTGGCGAAAATTATTACCTCCACACACAGTCGCGACAACCCAAAGCCCTCCCTCGGTTGAAGGGTGTATTGATCGAGAGCATCGCGTGGAATCCTTCCTTACCGACTGCTTCGACCAGAGAGATATTAGTTGGCGCGACAGATGGGAACGTCTATGAGGTTTACATCGAACCTTTATCGGAGTTCTACCGGAGGGACGAAAGATATGTTAATTCCGTGTATAAGATCCCCGCATCGGCGGTGACGGGTATCTGGGTGGGTTCAGTTCCGGGAAAGCAGGATTACAGAAATGTTATACTATCGTCACACGGGAAGATATTATATTTCATGGGACGTGTGGGGAAACATGGCAAAGAAGGCGGTAGCTCAATATATGCAGACCTTTTCCATAAAGAGACCCCCCTGGTTTACGAGGTCACAGTCTTATCCCCGTTGGCGCCTTCGCTCCTTGCAATGCAACCCGATCCTCCAGAAGGTGAATATGGAAACGATGAAGAAACCACCGGGAAACAGTTCGCATGGCTCTCGTCCCAAGGGGTCTTGTACGGCTCAGTTCCGATATCATCGTCATCGCCAGAGCTGGGAGATCGTATTTTTGATAAAGCCAAACTGCTAGCCCGGTCCGTTCTGCCAGCATCCGAGTCTGCCAGAGGGGGCCGAAAATTGATACAGGACCCTATAAAAGGGATGACTTTGACCCAGTGGCATATTTTAACTCTGGTCGAAGGTCGCATCGTGGCAGTCAACCGGCTAAGCGGAGAGATCGTATATGATCAAGCTGTTCTTGAGCCTGGCGAGGGTACTCTTGGTCTAGTGGCAGACCAAAAGAAAAATACATATTGGCTCTTTGCTGGTAAGGAAATCTTTGAGATTGCGGCCAACGATGAAGACAGAGATATATGGAAGGTATTTTTGAAAGAGCAGAAATTCGACGCTGCCCTGCAGTATGCTCGTGGCTCGGCGCAGAAAGACGCTGTTGCTACAGCATCGGGTGACCATCTCGCGAATAAAGGCCAATATCTGGAAGCTGCCGCGGTATGGGGTAAAAGCAGCAAAAGCTTCGAGGAGGTTTGCCTGACATTTTTGAATAAAGGGGAACAGGATGCTCTAAGAAAATACCTACTGACACAAATTTCGACATATAAAAAATCTGCAATAATGCAAAGGGCGATGATTGCAAACTGGCTTGTTGAAGTTTTCATGTCCAAACTCAACTCACTCGATGACACTATTGCAACGAAAGCGGAGTTGGTGGAAGGGACGAATGCGGGGGAATCGAAAGATGCACTCAACGATGTGCGTGAAGAATTTCAGGATTTCGTTAAAAAATATAAAGCAGACCTCGATCCGAAAACTGTGTATGACATCGTGGGCAGTCATGGAAGGGAGGAGGAGCTGCTATATTTTGCGAGTGTGACCAACGACTACAATTTTGTCCTCTCGTACTGGATCCAGCGAGAGAAATGGGGTGAAGCTCTCAATGTGCTTAAAAAGCAGACAAATCCAGACGTTTTCTACAAGTATAGCAGCGTTCTCATGACACACGTTGCTACAGATCTGGTCGATATATTAATGAGACAGATTGATCTCGACCCTCAAAAGCTCATTCCTGCCCTTTTAAGTTACAACAACACCACGAAGGTCCCTCTCAGCCAAAACCAAGCCGTTCGTTATCTGAACTTCATAATTGCCAATCACCCCAACCCATCAGCAGCAGTACACAACACGCTAATTTCCATACATGCGGCACACCCTTCTCCGTCAGAAGCTGCTTTACTAACATACCTCTCCTCTCAACCTTCCTCTCCGCCACCGTATGATGCCGATTTTGCGCTCCGCTTATGCATCCAGCATAACCGTGTCCAGTCATGCGTTCACATCTATACTACGATGTGCCAATATCTGCAAGCTGTGGAGCTTGCTCTAAAGCATAACGACATTGAACTCGCTGCGTATGTTGCAGATCTTCCTGAAGGAAATGACAAACTTCGCAAGAAGCTATGGCTCCTCGTAGCCGAGAAAAAAATCAGGCAACCAGGCACTGGAATCAAAGATGCAATTGAATTTTTACGCCGCTGTGAACTTCTTCGTATAGAAGACCTAATCCCCTTCTTCCCCGATTTTGTCGTCGTCGACGATTTCAAGGACGAGATCTGTACGGCGTTGGAAGACTACTCGCGACACATCGACTCACTGCGGCAAGAAATGGATAATTCAGCCCATACAGCAGAACAGATACGGAAAGAGATTGCGGCACTTGATACCCGATATGCTATTGTTGAGCCCGGGGAGAAATGCTGGATATGCTCCTTACCACTGCTTAGTCGACAGTTTTTCGTCTTCCCGTGCCAACATGCGTTCCACAGCGACTGTCTAGGGAAGAAAGTACTGGACGCGGCGGGGTCCGCGAAGAGGAAGCGCATTCGCGATCTCCAGATCGAAATGAGCAAGGAGATAAATACTGGAGGGAAGAGGGAGAAGGTAATACGTGATTTGGACGGGTTGGTCGCTGAAGCTTGGTGAGTTCTGAAAGTTTACCCTATCTTTTACTCCGTTTCCCTTCATCCTTCATACCCCCTCTGTTTAGCACATTAAATTTTTAATTTCAAAGGACTAACATATTTGTTGGTAAATAGTATTCTTTGTAGCGAATACGCGATCAAGCAAATCGATGAGCCATTCATCAGTGCTACAGATAATCTGGATGAATGGGCGATATGAAGTATTCTAGTCTGCAATACTCAATGATTGATTCCTTTCCTGTCTTTCCTTTATTAACAATTCTTTTACGTAGCTCGCAAACATTCCGCCTTCCCATATCTATATCCATATTCCCATCACTTAACGTGTATATACATCAATCTACACCTTCAAGAAATTACATATCACCTACTCTCTACTGCTTGTCCCCGTTACATGGGTATAACACGCATGGGCTAATGGTACCTACATTTATGCGTCATATCATACAAATATTCCCTTATTGGAGAAGACTAATGGCATGGGATGGAACGAGAAACTCGTCGTAAGGTGGTCAGAACCTGAGAAGGAATCAACGGCTTGGTAGTTAGGAGAGAGAGCCCGAATACCAATGTCAAAGCAGAGAAACGCTTTCCCTAACCGTTTAGTTGCGATGACTGGAACGTACTGATAACGTCTTTCTCTCTCGGGTATAATTCGCATTTTCTTCAAACAAATTCCGCAGACCCGCAGTAATGCGGCTATTGAGCATAGGCGAGCTTGACGGCATTACCATGAAATATTGTTCATTTGAACGAATGACCTGATGCATTATTGCTTTTTCTAAACCAATCCCCAGGCTCTTGCCGCTGCTCAGTAACTCTGTGTTGGACCAACCAACTCCATGGATGCCAGCCCCTTGATCTCGCCCAAATAAGGCCAATGAATATTAACTACAGTGAATTCCATTTTCATTGCGTCCAACGAGATATGGAGGACGAGATTGAAGACAACTAACTCCCTTTGACGAACTGTTTTCTTGGTCATGTTGATCATTTGAATGCTCCCAGGGATTCAAGAAACACTCTGCTAGTTCTGGCTGGAAACCGAATGGGCAATGGCTCAGGTACATATACATCGTCGCCTTTCTCTTTTTGAGGCTCGCCAATACAATAACTGACACTGAGCCCCGATGGCAAGCGATAAACACCTCACAGAAGGATTGAATCAATCAAGTGACCCCCATATGGAGCCCACTTAGTGCTATGATACCCCTGCGCTCTTCTTGCCTCTAACCTATCTAATAAGCTATGTCTGTATGGGTGCCATGAAATATGTGCAATAGGCCAAAATACCGAAGCAGAGCAGAAATGCAAGATTGGCCTCGTCCAATATCAACAACGGAAACCATGCAGATCCAGTGTAGAGTGTGGGAATTTTTTCAATAAATGTTGAAACGCCACCTCGATAGAATATCAGGCAGGTAGCTTCAATTGCTATTCCATGTCATTTTCTCAGAAATTTTCTCTATATAAGGATTAGGATAGATGGTTGTCTAGATATTATTCTTACCAATATATCTATCTCATCGACTATGAATGCCCCCATGACCGTGTTTTAGCCTTTTCAAATCTCCTTGCAAGGAAATCGGCCCTCAATCTAGACCTTCCCCTCTTGCCTGGCGGGGGAAGCATTGGCAAATCATATGTTGAGGTTTGAAGCCATTTATTGCTGAACTTTGAATGGAGATCCCAGGTTGAGATGCAGGCTGGAAACTTAGAAACGCCGCTGACGAGAGGTCTCATTATTCAAAAGGGTATCGTCATCATCATCATCATCATCATCATCATCAACTGATACTGCCCTCCTGCTAACCAGTCAATCTCCGGCGTTCATGCTTAGTTGCACTTTTGACACTCGCACTCAGCACAGAAAAGAGTCTCCGTGTTCGGCGAAATGCGCGCAACTGCAGCTGCCGACCACGCTGGCGCACCTATTACCGGTTTACGGGGAACACGGTTTGCCATTGGGCGTGTGTCCCCGGTCCGTCACTAACGGATATGATTTGCAGTCGCAGCTGAAAAACTATATATCTATCCAATGACGCGATAGCAACTGAGAGAGTTTTTCTATTTTTGACTGTTCCAAACCTGCCAACGGGAACGCAGGACCCAAGTTGGTAGGCGGGAAAAAGTCGCACGCAGAGGGCACACACACTGCAGCTGGAGACTGCATGCGCGTTGTGCATTTCGCACATGCAACCTCAAAAAACCAGTCTTGAGTACGCGGTGGGCACTGCCCTGTCATTCGTTTGATAAGTCTTAAGATATGCCGGTGTAGCACAATGAAAACAAATGGGGATGTTTGATTCGCGGAGAGCGGGCTGGATGACTCTCTGTGCAGCACACGGTTCACCAATTCGAGTTAGGTGAATCTGTCAATTATGGAGAGAGCTTATAATATGGCACGTATTCATGTCCGAACACACATCACATTCCCAAGCCTGGGTAGATCAGACCGAAGTCGCTGAGATTTTTGGCTCCCAACTTTACCAATGACAGGTGAATCTGGATCTGCGATGAACGAAGGAGAGGAGATTCATATCCCCGGACCCACCGACCCCCCAACCCAATAAACAATAGATATCCCGGGGAACCTTTCTGCTTTTTTGCTAACTTAGAAGAAGAGAAATTCAATTGATACCAACCTTGGCATATCAAACTGCCTCGACCTGAAGTTCATGAACAGGTAGCAACCCCCTTCCCCGCCTACCTCCTACTCACATATGTTCCCTACGCAGTCCACAGGATCAATTACATCCAACCAAGATTCAAACTGAAGCTCCCCCCCGGCCAACTGGTACACGCAGGTATCCTTGGTGGTTTTGCAAGCCCAAGTATATAATCTTGAGGCCTTTTGCAGTGACCAGACAATCAGCAAGCAGGCCCCCGAGTATGGGATATATCATTTGTACTGTACGCCCCGCTTTCTGATCATTAGCTGTTCGTGTGTATCAACACAGAGAGGAGCAGCAACCTTGCATTCTCCAAACAATTAGGTCCACGTGAATAGCAAGAAAAGGGGATCAAAAGAGCAAATCTGCATGGATAGAAAGAAAATCACTTGACGCTGAGAAAAAGGCGTTTTTAAAAAACTTGATTTTTGCCGCTTCTACGGACAACTTCCAGTGATAAAACCAGTTTCTGGCCTGACCGGTAAGTTGAAGTTAATAAATAGCACTTGGGACAACAAATAGCCCGCCCTTATGCTTGGGATAATCCGAAACAAATCCACCATCGCCCTCCTGGTCCTCAACTGTTGATAAAAAGAATTCCGCCGATCTGACCCCAGCCAGTTGAATCTGGAACGTGTTCTAAACTCCAGCGCGAAAAAGTATGTATTCCTCAAAATAAGAAAGTCAGGGACCACTAACCGCCCAACGTCTGGAACACGTTGTATCTGCCAAATTATGTATGTCTGTTTGTCCCTGCGGCACGCAAGTATTAATTTGACACCTGTTCCTACATGTTACAAAGTAACATTATACAGCGCGTACACTCCGCTGTGCAGGGCAAGGGCGCAGGGCAATGCAATTAATACCCCGGCGAGATCCTAACTTGTACTATTGGATACTAAGCAGGGCAAAGGAGAACGATATAAATTATTATTGTTTCATATCACTGCGCATACCCCGCCAAATTTTATACATTATTGTTGGTAGGAATGAGACTTGAGCCCTTTCAACAAAAATAACTCCCTACCTAGTCATATTTTATGTTGATGAACGGTCCTTGGGCAACTCTGTTTCATAAAAGAAGTACAGAGTAACCCTGGAACCACCACTTCCCCCGGAAAAAGAAGCATCATAGATATCAGACAGTATTCAGATATACATGGTTACCAAGTTACAGATAATAATTACCCCATATTCCATGAAGGAGCCCAACCAAACGCCTATGATGTGGCAGATATACATAGTAGTTACAGGGCTGAGGCTCGCTGGGGTTTCAGCGGGTACACTCTTGACCATTTCTTTACACACCTTGACTACAACAGAGAATATAGTCAGACAGGAAGGGGTGGGGGGGGATCAGGCCTTTTCAAGGAGCATACGGATATTCATTTTCAATGATGGAGCATTATTCGACTCCGCCATAACAGGCCATGAATAGTAATGTCTCTACTCTGTACATGTAGTTTGAACTCTGGAGCTAAATCAGCCAGACAAGAGCCTCGCGGATATGGAAGAAGTGTTGTATGTATGTACACGTATGGTGTTTCAGGCAGATGAAACATCAGGAAAAAAAGATTCTCTGAGAAAAAAAAGACTCTTTTCGAAACCAAAGAACATGACTCCATTATTACCCTCTCTGATCTCATGATGAGTTCCACTTCTCCCCTTTTTTTCTTTTTTTGGCTTAACACCCCCAATACCTGGGTGGTTATTGATTATTTAATGTGCCCTCGCGTTCGTTTTGGAACCAGCTCGTTTGAATCTCAGTATGTTCCTCCTGCCTGCCATCGTTGTTCCGAACCTATTTAGGCGAGTTGGCCTGCTCTAGAACAAAAAGTCCACTTCTTCCTGGCGGGTGGCCAGCCCAAGCCCTGCGCAATCGTAATCGTAAGATTCGTAACCTTGTTATCATACTATACTTGAATCCAGAAGAAATATAGACCTCCCTCGGGGAATTGTTTCCGCTATACGGAGTATAATCTTGGTCCTTGGGCGGTATGCACAGTACATTGTATGTACGTGTAACCTGACAATTTGAGTGCTGATCATAAAAATAGGTAGTTACGGTTGTAATCTGTATTCTAGACCTTGATTCCTGTTACTTAACAAAGGGGAGCAGCAACAGTGATGTGAATGTATAATTATTGTGCATGTATAGTACATGTACTTCTGTACATGCACTTTGACAGAAATGTGTGAACACTTTAAGAAGAACATTAACATAGACATGTACTTGTAAATTTAATGTACATGTACATGCCTGTGTGTCTCTCTGATCATCTGTCTCTATGTACATGTCTGTGATTCCCTTTGCTGTTCTCATGTTCTCATGTCTTGAAGATCTTCAAGATGCAATGTCATGTGGCTGTACTGCAATACCAGAGAGACTCTGTGAAGAAGTGTCATGAGTAGCTAACATTTGTATTGCTATTAGAATAGATGAAATGATAAATTAATAAGAGGATGAGAGAATGAATAGAGTAACTAGGCATTTGATTCACATGAGGAAAAAATAGAAAAGTAAAAAGTAATAGATACTCAGAGATTTAGAGATTTAGAGTTGATAGTTATACTGATGTATATATACATACATACATACATACATATATTATTATCAATGAATCTCATAATACTTCGAAAAAGCAGAGAAAACAGTTGTTGAGATAATAAGAACAGACAGTAGCAAGAAGAGTGAGCTAGTTAATGAACAGAAGAAAAGATTATCTACAGATATAGAGATCTGAAAACTTGTGAAGAGTGCTACGTATCTATCTATCTATGCATAGTTTTTATTTAACTCAAAGACAATACATGTATTACATCACTTCATAGATGCCTTTCAGCAACACTGGCAAGATATAACTAATATTCACACCAGAGTTGACAGCAATGGTAACTATTTATTCTGAAACTGATTAACCAGTTTCAAACTGCAATCTGATTGTTGGCAGAATGGATTTATCAATAAACATGGCCAGAGTCTGTCAGCTACATACAGTGTAGCGTCCAGACATCCAGACTGCAAATGAGCTGGCGGTGTGAGAATAATCATATCAATCAATTCCAATGATGGCGTGGTTTTGTACAGTAGTTGAGAGATAGTTAAGTTAACCTTGATCAGGATTGATTAATCCACCGGTCCTTGGGGATCATATGCTCACCCACCCCCGGCTTTTCTGATCGCTCCACGTAGCCCATGTCAATAGTCGTTGGGCGGGGTAGGGTATCTTCTGGGCATCATCTGATAAGCTAACTAGTTAGTTAGCTACACCGTAACGGCTGATAATGTAAAAAAATCCGAACCTGCAACAGGCGTCTCAAGGAGCAGGGAGTAGTAGAGGGGAGCTGGAGGGGAATAATCGGGAGCGGGAAGCTGAAACCCTCCAATTGAGAAGGGCCATTGGGGAGGATCTTTAGCTGCGTCAAAGGGGGGGTGGCCTGCTGCACATATCGTCCATTCTTCATACACAAAGCCGTCAACCGCCACGAATTTTTTTTGGAGGAGGTGCCATGCAGCATAATTACTCCTCATAAAATAGCCGGTCCACCTTCGATCAGAGCTATCGAATTGGAATTGCCAGTCTGATGCTAGCTAGTTTGTGCCACGCACACATAATTACGCAGCATATTGCTTCGATGGGCCCCCTCCCCTTTTGACGATTCGGGCCGTACCAGGGCCGCCGGCGGTTCCTCTTACACCAAAAAGGGCAACTAACTTCGCTGCAGAACCAATGAAAGCGAGACAGGAAGCCATGACCAATCAGTTCAGGAGCAAGCGCAGCTCTTCCGACGATGCTCTTTGGCGTCTCGTCTGGGCACAGAAGCTTTGCGTTTTTGGGCCTCAGCGTACACAACAGCTGGTGCACTGGCGCAACAACCACCTGGGCAATTACGCAGCGTACAGAGCGATCCTGCCGCTTATCAAACACTGCAGCCCCCTTTAACATTGTTACCCCTCGTTTGGCGCTGCGTCATAAACCTAGATTAGGGGCAGGCACTTGTGTCCACTCTCCATAGAAGGCCCACGACGCTTGGGGGGGGGGGGGGGGGGGGGTACGCAGCGTATAGCGTGAGGGAGGGAGAAAGCAACCATGCTCGACTGCATTATTATTTGAAGGACCGGATGCTCGTTGCTCTGTGTCAGAGATGAGAGATGTCTTCAATGCCTTTTTCCCCCACCATTATTACCACAGAGCGACGCCCGGCTCAGAATAAGAATAATACGCTGTAATGAATAAAACGACCCAAAGGCGTGGACTCACTCACGTATGGTGGGATGAGTAGTACATACTTGTGCAGCAGTATGAAAGCGGTGGAACGGTCTCAAAACAAAAACAAGGTAGGGGGCTCCCTCGGAACCGGCAGTGAGCCGTCTATTCTCTATTCTCTATTATTATTCTTGCCAGGCCGTCCCGCCCCCCGCGTCCAATTATTTTATTAGACAACCAGGCTCCATTTTCCCATCTACACAACCCCTTGGCTTGCCAGACGTCGTTTGGTTGTTGTTGGCTCACCCCCTTTTTTTAGTTTGAGCGAGACACCCAGCCAGCAGAAAGTAGTTTAGTTTTTGCTGTTTAGGTGGGAAGCTAAAACGCGCTATTTCTTCCTTTTTGAACTTCAAAACCTTGGGAGAACACTTGAAGGGCGAGCTAGCCGATCTGGTGCAGGATGTTGAGTCGAGGACAGACAACAAACATACAGCGTACGTAGCGTAATAATATTATTAATGACCTGTAGTTAGTTAGTTACAGAGGAGGGATGTTTAATCACAGTGGTGCAATAAAGAAATAGTAAGATAATTTGTTCGCAATGAATCTTCTTGGTCATTGGTAGTCTCCTCGATTCGGCTAAATACGTAGAACTTGCATAATGATATGAAGGTACGGTACAGTGGTTGATTGAAGCTACGGATGAGCCAGGCCGTTGAGTTGTTGAACTCTTTGTTGTTGGTTGTTGGTTGTTGGTGGCAACACTGGCAAGTGCGCTGCGCTGACTGACTTGGGTGCGTTGACAGCGCGGGCGCCCAACTGCAGTCTGGACTACTGCGAGTCTGCGAGGGAAACAGCACGCGCAAACATTGCCACAGCCCAGCCTGCCTGCAGCTGCCTGATTCGCCGGTTCCCATGCCCAGGAGCCGGGCTAAAAAACAGCCTTACATAAGCGGGTGCGTGGCATTTATGTCATCCCAGAGGGTGTGTACTGCGTATAGTAGGGAGCCGGGGTGGCGTCTTAGCACCACGCGCCTGGCCGCCATTCGACGTTCTTGGAAGGGGTCAAGTACTCCGTAACCTAGCAGTACCTAACTACCTAGTAGTCAGCAGGTCAGGAGATACCTCGCAAGGACCGACGCCTTGCCACTCCTTTGCAACGTCATTGCCGCTAGGTGGTAGCATCGCCGGAGGTACCGCCCAGGTACCCACGCCAGCGGCTGTCGGAGCGCCCCTTCACCGCCCCCAATCTTTGCCGTTCTTTCTCCTTCTCCCCCGGATCTTCATTATTCCATCGTTCGTCAGTCAGTCATCATCATCTCACTCGGCCATCACATCACATCACCGTTCCTTTCCTCCTCCTCCTCCTCCTCCTCCTCGTCGTCGTCGTCTTCTTTCCTTCACCTTCTTCCTTTCCTCTCATCTTCGTCTTCCGTCTTCCATCCTTTTCTTCGTCCATTGTCTCCTACCTCGACTTCGCCTCGTCATCCCATCTCCTCCAACCCCAACCCGCCACGAGCCATCTCAAGTCCGGAATGAGACTGCATTAGCTTCAAGAGAACAAATTACCTCATATGACCGTTACAGGTTGAACTACTTCTCTTGTTGATTCGTTTCGTTGCAGTGCAAATATTCTTCCGTCCTTGTCCTCGCCTCCCTAGCTCCAAACGACACTTTCACCAACCATCGATCGCTAGCTTCCATCAAGAACAACAAAGCAGCTTGTGTCTTCTGGTTTTCAGCCAACCGCCTGTTTTGTAGCAAGCGTCTTATTTCTCCTTTTGCTTTCAGTAGTTGGTTGAGTTCTTCAGGGCAAATAGAGGGACCTCGTTTCGTGTCCCAGACACCGCCATATCAAACTGCCATCCGCGTCGTGATCACAGTCATCGAGCCGGCAACCCACACCCTCAGATGTTATCTGTTCGACAAGTGCATCGATAACAGACCTTCGAGTCGTCAGTGACGGTTTGCTACGCAGGCCCTTCGGACATTAAACCCGCTCTGAGCCTACCTTGACGTGTGGATCTCCTTTTCTGTCCGAAGCTTAGGCCAACCTTGCCTGTGTCGCCCTCTTGATCCGTGACTCATCGTCTTCTGTTATTGCTGTCTGAACCAGTGTCCTCCCCCTTCCATACAGAGTAATTGGTTCAGCAACAACCTCCCGGTCTCCGACGAACCTTCCAGCCAGGTGTTCGAGGTTCCCCCTATCGTCAATAATACATCTCTCTAATTCTTTTGGTTTCTTTTCCCATCACGACCTTTTAACGCAGCGATTTAATCTCAACTCTCCTCTTATTACCTCCTTTTGACGTTTCGCCATACCTGTTTTCAACTAATCGACCCTCGCCTGTCGATTCCGCTCACTCTCTTTCCTTTTCTCTTTTTTTTCTTTTCGAGGATCCAGTCCAGCCATCAAAACTTCCCAGATGCAATCATAACGGTCTTTACCCATTTCCTACTCTCTTTACGTGTTGCGGCGGTTGCCTACCGACCACCAAGTCCCGGACGACAACATTTCTTTTGTATTCATATATCGACCTTGATCATCTTGCTTATATGAGCCCCTGATCCGAAGTTACGTTACGGTGTTTTCGCTCTTCTCATCTCCCTCGCCTTTTGGACTCACCCGGTATTCCTTTTTTCCCATCCGGCGGAGGGGATCTCATATTATATTTTATACTTGCACATCTATCCCACTTGTCTATATATATCTCTTCTATTTTTTGCTCTCTTTTCTTGTGCTTTTCGTTAGCCTTCAAATCCTCGCCGTACCCCTCACTCCTCCCGCTTCTTCATGGACTGCCAGTTCCCAGTGGAAGATATGGATTTCCTGCGGGATAAATTTGTCGAAGGAGAGCTCCTCAATAGCCGATTCCGGACTGTGGCACCATTGAATCATGGCTCGTTTGGAATGGTGTTTCTCGCAGATGACACCGTGACCGGCGAACAAGTTGCTATCAAGTGTTTGACAAAATCATCCTCTGGCGACTCGTACCCTCTAGCCGTGGATGAACGGTCCGAAGAGTTGGAATGCCATACCCGCCTGGGACACCACCCAAATATCGTTAACCTCCTCCACTCTTTTGAAACGGAATCCCACATATTCTTGGTTCTTGAATATTGCTCGATGGGAGATCTGTACGAAGCCATTAGGAACAATCGTGGCCCTTTGGAAGTTGAGCATGTCCGTGCATTGATGTTGCAGCTTGTTAGCGCTGTCGAGTATATGCATTCGAAAGGCCTATACCATCGAGACATCAAGCCTGAGAACATCTTTCTCACTCACGACGGCTCGATGAAACTTGGAGATTTCGGCTTGGCCACCAGTAGCCCTTGGTCCTACGAGGCATGCGTTGGAAGTGACCGTTACATGGCCCCAGAACAATACGAACCCACTCCGAGTGGTTATTCGACTGAACAAGCCGACATCTGGTCTGTTGGAATTTGTCTTCTGAATATCTTGTTTGCGAGGAACCCCTTCGTTACCCCAACCGAATCTGATATTTTCTTCGCCGACTATACTCGCGACCGCCAGTCTCTCTTTGACATCTTCCACAACATGTCTCAAGACACTTTTGAGATACTCTCCAATGCCATGGCACTTGACCCGAAAAAACGCTCGCTATCTGGCATTCGCGAATCTATCTTGCGTGCTGTCTGTTTCACTACTGACGATGAGGTCCTTGATGATTTCTGCACCGAAGACCGTGAGATTGTCGCCGCCAATGCGGATAGGGAACCACTTCGAACCCCCTCTATCGCCAGCCCTCATATCAACCAGGGGGATTCCTTTCCCTGGGCCAAAGCTTTGCAGGAGTCCCCAGCTCAACCGATCAGACAACTCTCTGCCATCCCAGATACGGAAAGCTATTCGGAAGATTTGTTCTCAACCTCGGGAGCGGAGGCCATGTCCTGGTTCTCCGTACAAGCCGGGTCACCCTCAATTTCTGCCTTGGGTTCTACCTTTGGGACTTCGTTCAAGTCCATGACCATTCGACCAGCTGAGAAACGTTTCGCAGCTCATTCTGACCCTGTCACGATTAGCGGTTCTCTGCCAGATCGTGCCGGAAGGCCAATCCCAGCAATGTCAATGGTCTTTGGAAAGGGTAACAATGAGATGTCCAAGAGCTGGAGTGATCTTTTTGATGAAGAGGAAGAGGAGTCCAAGAAGGAAGTGATGAGGCAACGAAAGGAACAAAACGCTCGCAGCTGGAGCCAGGATAGCCAAATGGAGAAGACAACACCCCGTCCGTCTGGTTTATCCGAAGCCCAGGGCTCGTCATCTGCTAATTCTCGATCCTCTTCCCCCAATGACAATCAAAAGAGCGTTGCGATTCCGACTCCTCTAAAGCCAAACAAAGATCTTGCAGAGAATCACCTCCCTGGATCCAGTTTCCATTCGCCAAAGCACCATCAAAAGCAATCAATCATGGACAAATGGGCAGCTCTCGGGAACAAACGACGCAAATACCACCCCAACCATGAACATTCATCGTGCTCGAGGAAGCAGAAGCAAATGTCAAAAAGCTGGCGCAAGGATGCAGGCCTAGGTTCTCCGGGTTTTGAGGACCGACACGTCGATCAACATTTCCTTGCCATTGACTGGCGACGGGACCCTTTCGAAACTATCAAACCGAAGAAATATTCGACCATCATCGATGATGATTTCGATTGGATTGGTGGCTGGCACGACTTGCATATCTGAGAACTATAACTGACATACTCCCCTTATTTCTTTTTTTCCCTCTCCAATTCCCCCCCCCCCCCCCCCCCCTTCTTTGCTGGCGATCCCCGAGCTGTTGGTTGTTCGCTGCCTGCCTGCTGCTGCTGCTCTTTCCCTCTCCACCTTCCCCGGTTGAATCACTTTGAACCATATTACAATTTATTAACATCATTATTCCTAAACTTCTCTCTATTCTTTTTAACTGCCTTACCTGGTTTTCCGCTTGTTGTGGTGTATACACAGCCTTTTTGTCTCAAAAAAATTTCGCGCATTTCCCCTAACTGAAGGCAAGGATTGGCTTGCTCTAAGAAAGATCAATCTTCTGCTTGTACTATATAACACACGTTTTACATCCGTTATTGGGGCATACATTCAATTGCACTGCGGAACCGAGCTGGTGTTGGTTTGGAAGAGATTGCACATTTGGTACACCTGGAGCGGCGTTTTCAACTTCAATCGATTCGTTTCTGCTGCAATTCTGTTTTTGGGTTGTACCACCATCATATCTGTGGTTCTTGTCGAAATTATTTGAGCCCTACCGTCGTTGTTTTCTTTTTCTACTACTATATTTTTAACCTTCTTATCTTTATTGTTTAACCCCATTGGCCATTGGCACGGGGCAAAAAACATCACATCCCAGCACAGCAAGCAGCAGTTTTGATATATCGAACATTTTTCAGGAGCGGAAGGATCCATGGCAAGAGTTCGGAAGAACGAGAGGACAACGAAAAGTATACATATCTATGTATCTATATAAAAGATAAAAAAGCCCGTGGCATTTGAGCCAAAGAAAAATGGGGGCGAGCGCAATATGTTTTCGTTTCCATTTTGCACACACATGTCAGCCACTTTTCCGATCCTGTTTTGCAAAAGTGGAAGGGGGGTGTAGTTTAGTTTTAGTTTGGCCGCCTAGCGGTCAGGAAAACGAAATGAAAATATTTTTTTCCCTCGAGAAGTGAGAGTTGTTGTTTTATGTCAATCTTAGTAACTTCGTGCCATAGATAGATATCCATTCCATGTTGCTTAACCCAAGACGTGATATATATATAGAGTACATTCTGTATCGCGCGGCCATAAGAGGGCGGGTGTGCTAGACACTGCTTTCATGAAATATAATGACAATAAGTTAACGGCACATTACATACTCCGCCATAATGTACGCTGTCCCATGTACATGTACATGTAGGAGAAATAACAGCGCTGAAATCCCCCATCGTTTGTCTCCCCGCCGCCACCACGCCTGTTGGCTGTTGGTTTGGTGGTCTCCCTTTGGCGGCTCGCGTGGTCCCACTTTGGCGCCTGCCCCAGTGCCCCATTTGTTTCTGCTCACCGACTCCGATGTAGTTAGCAGTACTGCCAGTGTAGAGTAACTACAGCGCAAAGAAATATAAATAATAATAAATAAATCCTCAGCAGAGAGAAGAGAAAAACAATGAATGATTCTTCTTTCTTTTGATCCGACCTTCACACTCTTCGCAGCAGTTTCTTTTAGAGAGAGCAACAGCGCGTGGGGCATACGTTAAGGCGTCTTTTTAGCCGCGAGCTTATTATTATTATTAACTAGCTAACCAACGAACCGAACGAACCAACCAACCAACCACCTTCCGCTCAGTCCCAATCCCAGCTCCCTTTTTCTCATATGAACGAATCGGTCTGTCTAACTACATACCTTGAGGGAGAGATAAGAAGATATTTAATCAACACAGAACAGGGCTTCTTTGTAGCCGGATAATATCCCTGTCGCCAACGGCCGGCAAGCCGTTTTCCCTTTTCCGAACACCCTAACGCGGTTCCTTACCAAAAGCAAACTCAAGAGGCCAGATTTTTTTTTTTTTTTTACCCCGGAATTCAAAGCTGTGCGAAGACGAAAGCTTATTGCTCCTTTCTCTTCCACAACAGCTTCCGCAATCTTTCTTTCGCATACGATCGTATTACTTTGACAATCTCCTATTTTTCCCTTTCCTTTACGACGCCCTCGACCTGAGTTGTTGGTGTCTAGAATCCGCCCGGCCGCAGACGAGAAAAAGAAATCACGGCGCAGCGACTGATAAACAACATAGGGAGATGCTGTGGACTGCCGTTCTGGTAGCTGCGGATCCGACAGGAGAAAAGTGAGGAAAACGAAGAATGGGCCATCGAACTGGACGCGGAGGGACCCTTGTTGAATTTTCCGGTGCTGGCGTTGCGAAGGCACCGCAAATCTGCTGTTGCTGTTGCTGTCGTTGAGGAAAAGGTGAGGATTTTGGTCCTTTCGATTTTGCTCTTTTTTTTTAACTATTGTCTGTCTATCCATGATGGTCAAACTTGAAACGTTGTCGATACGTTATGGATTCTTTGATTTGAAGTCCTGTGCTTACCAAACGCTTCTGGTTTGATAGGTTTTTTTTTCTTTCTTAATCGTGGTTATTCGTACATAGTTACTCTGAGCGCCGTTTCTCTATTCCTTTTTCTTCAATTTTTTTTTATCACGAAATCACGAGCGTTACCTCGGGGAAATATGGCCTGGCATTATACCCTCTTCCCGCGTGGTGCTCATACGAAATGTCGGGCTACGGATCGCTTGCTATACTTCTGGGCTATTGCTTTACTTGCTGCTGTGCACGCGGGGGGAAATCTGGGTTTTGAGCAACCCAATATTAGCTCGCGAGCATTAGATGCAACTTGTCCCAACAGGGACCTGTCGGATATTCAGTTGGAATACATGCAGAACCCTGTCTGCTTAGAACCGAAATGGGCCGGTATTGGGCACGTCGAAAATTATACGTCGAATTCTTCATCTGGAGGAGCTGACATTGATGCATCGATTCCCCCTGGTGCTTCACCATCGCCGTCATCAACAGTAACAGCGACTACGTCAGGATCAAGTGGTCTGGACCAGGACTTAGATACGGAGTCGCCTCTTGATAATGCGAATTTTCTTTCTTTCGAAGAGTGGAAGAAGCAGAATTTGGCAAAAGTGGGCCAATCGGTGGAACATGTTAGGGGGGATCGCCAAGGTGCTGGATCTGAGGCCAGCGGAAGACGCCAGCGCCCTATGGGGATTGACAATTCTTTGGATTCCTTGGGTGAAGACGGTGAGATTGCGTTGGAATTCGGTGGGTTTGGGCCTGAAAATTCTGGCCCGGCGTCATGGGAGAGGAAGGTTGGGAAAGGTCAAGCTCCGCATGCCGATGGGGCAGAGTCGGCTACGAGAGGCGCAGAAGGAGAAACGCAGATTGAAACTACGACTCGTGGAGGTGTTTCTAAGAGAAAGGATGCGGGGACTACATGCAAGGAACGATTTAATTATGCATCGTTTGATTGCGCGGCTACAGTGCTGAAGACCAACCCCCAGTGCAGCGGCGCATCGTCCGTTCTGACCGAGAATAAAGACAATTATATGCTCAACGAGTGTAGGGCTAGGGATAAATTCTTGATAGTCGAGCTCTGTGACGATATTTTAATCGATACTATTGTGCTAGCCAACTATGAGTTTTTCAGTTCGATCTTTCGCACGTTCAGAGTTAGCGTTTCGGACCGATATCCCCCCAAACAACCCGATATGTGGAGGGAGCTGGGCACCTACGAAGCAGTTAATTCTCGAGAGGTTCAAGCGTTCGCAGTTGAGAATCCCCTCATTTGGGCCAGATATGTGAAGATCGAATTCTTGACTCATTACGGTAACGAATTTTATTGCCCTGTTAGCTTGATTAGGGTGCATGGAACCACTATGCTGGAGGAATACAAGAATGATGGAGAAGCTAGCCGTTTAGAAGACCACAATTCAGCCCAGATTCAGGGCAACGTGGCCTCGGAATCTGGACCAGATAATCCCACTGCTAATCAGAGCAAGGTTGTCGGGAAGGAGAGTGATGGCTCAACTGGAGCTGGTGGATTTGACGTGCAACCAACTCGCGTTCAGAAGCCGGAGGATATATGTCTTCCAAAGGCTGATATTGGGGCGATCTTATCGCGCAGTCTTGCCGGAGAGGAAGACGGAGTGTGCCTTATCAAGGAGGCACCTCGCGCCCACAACCAATCAATGGATGCAGTTCAGTCAGCTTCAGTCCAGGCTCATGGCCCTGCTAAAGTGGCAGAGGATGCCACGCCGATAACTCCCAGTGCTGAATCGTCTTCGAATGTGGCTAGCCCTACCCAAAAAACTACGCCTACCGTGACGGACTCCCGCGCTCAAAATCCTGCTAACGAGTCTCAACATGCGACATCCACTAGTACTCACAAGACCGAGTACGGTGGTTCATCTGAGTCATCGAAACCGTCGACTACAGTTCAGCAGCATCAACCTAACCCTACGACTCAAGAATCCTTCTTTAAATCCGTGAACAAACGTTTGCATATGCTGGAGACAAACTCTTCCCTCTCGTTACAGTATATCGAAGAGCAGTCACGCATCCTTCGAGATGCTTTTAGCAAAGTGGAAAAGCGACAGCTAGCAAAAACCACCACATTCCTCGAAAACTTAAATACATCGGTGCTGCAGGAGCTCCGAGAATTTCGCCACCAGTACGACCAGGTCTGGCACTCCGTGGCCGTCGAATTCGAACAACAACGACTTCATTATCATCAGGAGGTCTTCGCCATGAGCAGCCAACTAGGAATCCTAGCCGACGAGCTCCTCTTCCAAAAGCGCATCTCAATCATCCAAAGTGTCTTCGTCCTCATCTGCTTCGGGCTCGTGCTTTTCTCCCGCAGCTCGATAGCCAACTATCTCGAACTCCCGCGCGTGCACACCATGGTCTCCCGCTCCCAGAGCTACCGTTCCTCAACCCATTCCTTCGAATCGCCCTCCGCAAGCCCTAGCTCAAGACCCAACTCCTCCTACCGGGACAGCAGCAAGGATGCCTCAAACACCAGCCATAGACGCACGCACTCCGTCGAGTCCGTGGAGGATGACCTGGCGGTAAATCCAACCATCGCCTACTCGCCACCAACCCCGACGTCTGATAGCGACGATCACGGATTGCACCGGCAGGGCTCTCAGCGGTCGGATTCCACCGCCAGCAGTATTATGGTAACCCAGCCACCGCAGCTTCTCAGGTCGGAAAGCAGTCCACCGGATTTACGCGGGCCTTCTGAAGGGTCTGAAGGATCTGAGGGGCGTTCTCTGCTAGAGGCTCCGCAGGTGTCCTCGTGATGATGGGGTTTTGTGAGGGATGGGACTATTTTTTTTTAACCAACCGGGTGGTTTGGAGAATGAATTGTTTTCTCCCATGCCCCGGACCCGCAATTGTTTCTACAACACCCTTGCCACCCTTGCCACCGTTGCGTCTACCTATGACCTAGACCTCGGTTCTCCGGGATTATCAACATGTCGCTCAGGGCGGCTCCGCCGACTTGGGTTTAGCTATGAGAGGACAGTCCCGCATCTCCAAGTCGAGTCCCAGGCTGCGAGGAATATTTTGCATCGGCTATGGGCAACGCGGGATGCTGTACCAAATGAATCCCCCGGGTACGATGGATTCATCTCGTGCGTGAATGGATAATACGAATTATTCATTCGAAGCCATGGCTTCTGTGCGGAGTTTAGTGACCTATCTCCTCCATTCCAGAGGAGATACGTTAAATAAAGCAGCGAGGGAGAGAGAGTGTGTATAAATGTGTCTGCGTTTTCTCCCTGGGTTGTTGTTAGTTAGCACATTTTTTAAACGAGGTGGTTTGAAACCCTAACCGTCCGACCTCAGCGTGTCTGGGGCGTTGTTTTCCCAACGACGGGAATTATACAAACAACATCTTCGTTGCCCTTGGGAGGTGTCTCCTAGCACTTGCTTCTATTCGGGAGGATCTTGGGGAGTTTTCCCCTTTATGATGATAATGATAATAATGATGGGTTTTGGGATCTTAATGGTGGTGGGTAAGGGAATGTATATGGCCGTTATATATCAAAATCATGTCTATATCTATCTATACAAAGGGAGAATACAAACATGTAACCCCCTCCCCCCCCCAAAGGAGATAGATAATGTGCGCGGATTCTAGCTGAGGAGGATATTTGGGATTTTATTATGGATATGTATATGTATGTTATTATGTATGAATTTGAAATGAGAGATGTATTTTATTTTATTTTTAAAGTTCTTTCCCATTTCTGTGCATTGTCATTCCTGTACTCTGTACTGTATGGATATATGATTTATAGGGGCGAGTACTCCGTAGAGGAATCAAGTCGCTGCTTTGATTAAATAAAGAAGCTCATGAACATGTTACATAGTCACGTGATGGCGCAGGAGAGCTGGGTCGCCGGAGTTATCCAACAATTTATAGATAACTAGTTATATGATTTTCCACTTCTACAAGGCAAGGGGATGAAGGGAGTTGAAGGAGTCATCTTTTCTGTTTTTGCATCGAACGGCTTCTTTATGAGCTAGCCATGGAATCCGGTTGGAGATGTGTATTGTGTCTGTCTGTCTGTTTTGACCGGGTTTGCGAATATTGTCCGGGAGACATGGCATAGAAGGAAGCAGGAAGAGCTGTGTGCTCGCGGCTTGGGGACTTAGTAACTGGTAAAGACTGGGCTGTAGAGGGGGGAAATAGAGAGAAGGGAATATTATCTATCCTATCTTCTCTCTCGCCGGGGTCATTCGTTATTCCTTCACATGGATCAAGGAGGGATCGCTCTCTCTCTGGTTCCGCTGGGGTATATATGTCAATGGGGGATATAGATATATATAATTACCACAAACATGATCAAACTTCCCATGGATATAATAAAGAGAAAGGGGAGAATGTGTTGGCACTCTTTGTTCACTACTACTGTTTTGGTTGTTGTCACTGTTGTTGTGGGAACATGCTTCTCTCTCTCTCTCTATCTCTCTCTATATAGATCCCGCGCCCTGGCTGACTCCACAATTGACACGGCAATTGCGTAGGGCGAGGGATCGAGAGAGTTGCTCCAGGATTCCCGGGGGACTGGGAGGGATTTGCATTTAGCAATGACGGTGAGTCATAGACGGAGACGAGAGACTCCTCCACCCCGCAAGAAATGTCCGGCGTTGGTCTATTAGTTATTTGTCGGGAGTTGAGTTGGTTGCGGCCTTGCTGCGGTGGTGGTTGCTGTAGTAACTATCGGCCTGATAACCACCATATAATTGATATATATCCCAAACCACTGGAAAAGAATCATAATAATAATAATAATAATAATAATTGCCTTCCACCATCAGCTGCATTATTGACCAGGAACAGGGAATACAAGTCAAGCTCATCTTACTCTTGTTGTTGCTGTGCAAAATTACGTGCCAAAGAAGAACAACCATCGAGGGAGACGCCGCTGCTCTATTCCCTGACTGATCAACAAATAAAGACATCACCGACAACATATAAAAACCACCTCTGGCCCGGTCTTTGTACCGACATTCACACCAACCGTTAATAAATATCTCTCTTCATTTTATCCTGCCTCAGTTCTCAAACCACTCTTCTCGTCCGTTTGTTTAAAGAAGACAAAAATATACTTCACTCTGAGCTAGCTACCTTGCGACAGCCAAAAGCTCACAGGCTACGCCGAACCACCGTGCCGGGTACGCCAGTTCTTATTACGATCGAACATTATAACCTCCCAGTCCAAGTCGAACCGCAATGGAATTCAATCCTACAAGCCCATCGAAGGCCACACCGCTCTCCGATCGTTCTACAAATACTCATCTCCCCACCGGAGCGGCACCGCCAATGACAACTGGACACTGTGGCACGGATCTTAAAGCTGCAACAGAAATGTCGATGGAATATCACAGACAGGTGTTGAAAGAGAAGATGAAAAACGGGAAGAGGTATATATATGCCAGAACTCTCTGTAGTTGACAGTTAAACTAATTCGTTTCTTTTTTTCTTTTTGTCAACAAATAGTGAGAAGGGCCATTACATCTCGCCATCTGATGGAATCATGAGCCCGTGTACCAAGAAGCTGAGCGATCTCAAGGGGAAACGGTTTAAGAAGTATGCTGCATTTTCATGCTCTCCTCTCCCTCTCCCCCTCCCCACATGTGCCAACCCTTCTCTACATAAATCAGTCGATCGAAATCCTCCAAGTTTGAACAAACAAGAACTAATAAAATCTTTCTATTTTCTCTGAATCAGTGCCGGCAAACCACAAACCCTCTTCGCAAAGGCGATCGGCAGGAAATCCATTGAGAAGATGACCGTTGAAGGCAAAACAGGGTCAACAGCGCCCTCAGACGGGAGTGCATGATTTTTCGACTCTGAGAAAGTGACCCTAGGGGATCGATGGATTGTCCAACCCGGCCTCTCTTTTTTCTCTTTCTTTCTTTCGCTTTCTTTTTTAAAATTTCCTCTTCCTCCAATTGCGAACTTTAACCTAGCACACATATATCAGTTGCACTTTGCAGCTGTCGATGCCTGCCTTTTCTTTCTTTATGCCTTGCCACTTTGAGATGTACATGTATATTTTCGATTACTTTCCCTCTCTTTTCCCCTTTCTTCTTTTCTTCTCTTTTTTTTTTTTTTTAGGCTTCTCCTTTCTTATTCTTCTTTCATGGCCCTTTCATGTCATACCATGTGACTTGAGATGACTTGGCTCAATCGGTCTGTACTATTTTCTTTTTTTTCTTTGTCCGAGGCTTTTTTGACCTTTCTCGGTGTTTTGAACTCGTGTGTTTTGGAGGTTAAGGAAGGGGTGGGGGTGGGGGTTGGGAATCATGGCGTTTTCCAAACATATAGAGATACTACTGTATTGAACAGGACATGATTATGATAAATGGATTGGGATTTGTATTTTCCTTTTTCTTTGACCTTCCTTGCGAATTTTTCTTTTTCTCTCCCTTTTTTGGGTAACTATAGAAATGAAAGCATGTCTGTTCCTCTTTCTCCCTACGTCAGACGAGTTTTCACAGTGATCTCTAAGTTACTGCTCATATCATAAAACAAATCTATTCTATATCCTGTGCCATTTTGCCTTCTGTAAGACTTTCTTCTGAAGAATCCTCCTAAATGCGGGCCTATCGCCAGGGCTTCCGAAATCCCCGCAACAGCGTTTGGCATGTGTCAGTTATTCGTGTGCTCCACGGTTCCCTTCCTCATTTGATATACGCTGCCTATTATTCCAGCGGTGAAGAAGAATGTTGACATCTCCTTTTCAGATTATATATGTGGTCAGATTGATTCTAGTTATTCTAGCAGCGGCATATAACAAGGGCCCGCGCGAGTGCCGAGCAGGCCTAGCTTTTGCCGTTTCAAACTCAAAAAATGTTGCTTAGGCGGACACGAGCTGCAACCGGGTATAAACAGGCGGCTAAGCCAACATAGTAGAATTTTAACAATAATAAAAGTAATAACTAAGTCTGACATTCTCCATTAGCTATGCCTCTTCCAAAACAGTAGCAAACAAACCGAGGGCTGGCTGGCAGTTGACTCAATTCTACCACAAACACACCCTACCCTCCCATTGTTGTTCTGCGGCAACCAGACCCAGGCCCTAGGCTATTGGCGATGCGGGCTCCAACAGCCTCGGCTCAGCGCCGTCCTTGGGCCGGATAACTCTCCACCACCGACCGCCCAGAATCATCGCGCCGATATGCGATCTCGATCTCGTTCCCGGCTCAGCTATCGGCCCATCCTGCGTTCGGTTTAAATACACCGGCTTGCCCCATATCCGGCGCTGTCTTGGTCTGTCTTGGTCTTCACTCCCATCCCTTTCTCCCTTAACCAACATATCTCCTTATAGCTAGCTACACGAAAGCTTTGCTTGCGACCCCTGCAGTCCATACCCATCACAGTTCGTATTCAGCGCAAACCAATGTCGGCTTCCTCCAGAATCCCTCCCATGGCGCTGCCATTCGTCAGCGAGCGGGCAAAGAAGACTCTGGATCTAGTATGTTTTATCATCTATGAAATAAATCCCGCGCTTTCGCGGCGTTGCTTCCCTTCGGCGTCCGTCGGTACCATGATGGATAGGTAGCAATATTCTCATGGCTCGGACTTCTCTTTTTTGTTTTCTTTTAACTGCCCCAGCTCCCGACTGACTGAGACACTCGTTTTTCTTTTCAGGTCCAAGAATTTGTCGAGAAAGACTGCGTCCCCGCAGATGCCGTTTTCCAAGCTGAGCTGGGTGAGGGCGCCCAGCGATGGACCACCACCCCCGTCATCCTCGAGGAGCTCAAAGTCAAGGCCCAAAAGCTTGGGCTATGGAATATGTTCTTGCCTAAGAATCACTTCAGGGAGGGTGCCGGCTTCAGTAACTTGGAGTACGGATTGATGGCGGAATATTTGGGTAGAAGCCGGATTGCCAGTGAGGTATGTAATTGCGAGATTTGCTACTCCCCGACACTCCTCAGTGGTCATCCGAGTTTTTTTAGCCGGCCCGCTTCTTTTTGTTTGATTTCTTGTATCTGATTCTGATTGAATATACATAGGCTACCAACAATGCTGCGCCAGACACTGGTAATATGGAGGTCCTTGCCAAATACGGAAACGAGGCACAGAAGAGACAGTGGCTTGTGCCTCTGTTGGAGGGCAAGATCCGCTCTGCCTTCCTCATGACTGAGCCAGATGTTGCGTCCAGCGATGCTACCAACATCAAGCTCGATATCCGACGAGAGGGTAATGAATACGTCATCAACGGCCAGGTACGCTCAGCGCCACTAACTAATCAACCTCCTAACTTATTTATTCAACAATTACATGGAAAAAAAGCTAACTTATTATCCGGCCGGCTCTATAGAAATGGTGGTCGTCTGGAATTGGTGACCCAAGATGCCAACTCTTAATTGTCATGGGCAAGACCGACCCCAACAACCCGGATCCCTATAGACAACAATCCGTTGTCCTCGTCTCCATGGATACCCCAGGTATCACTGTCCACCGCATGTTGACCGTCTACGGCTACGACGACGCCCCACACGGCCACGGCCACGTCTCCTTCAACAATGTCCGAGTACCCGTCTCCAACATGGTCCTCGGCGAGGGCCGCGGCTTCGAGATCATCCAGGGCCGCCTCGGACCGGGCCGCATCCACCACACCATGCGTGCCATCGGAGCCGCGGAGAAGGCTCTTGAGTACCTCATCGCCCGCGCCAACGACGAGTCCCGCAAGCCCTTCGGCGCCGTCCTCTCCTCGCACGGTGTCATTCTCGAATGGATCGCCAAATCCCGCATTGAGATCGATGCTGCTCGTCTCATCGTGCTGAACGCCGCGATCAAGATCGATCAAGGCGATGCCAAGAGCGCGCTGAGAGAGATTGCGGAGGCTAAGGTACTCGTGCCCCAGACGGTACTGACTGTCATTGACCGTGCGGTGCAGGCTTATGGCGGCATGGGTGTCTGCCAGGATACGCCCCTGGCGGCCATGTGGGCGGGTATCCGAACCTTGAGGCTGGCTGACGGCCCTGATGAGGTGCACTTGCAGCAGATGGGCAGGAGGGAGAACAAGCAGCGGAAGGATGAGGTGACAAAGAAGATCAATTGGCAGAATGCGGAGTCGCAGCGGTTATTGAATGCTAAGGGGTTCAAGAGCCAATTGTAAATCAGAGGGGGGGATTTCCTTTTGTGATATTAAATGTTAAACTGTTTGTTGTTCTTTTGGGTTAACTAGTTAGAGAGTATTAAAAGATCTGAGGATTGAATCTACACTTTTATTTATCAATTTATCAATTTATATACATATGAGTTTTCGAGACTTATCAGTGTATATTTGTGATCAGTATTAGTTGACTGAGGTCATGTCATAATGCATCCGCCGACATCCTCCCAAGGCGGTGGCACGCGGCACTAAACAACCCGCGCCAAGTCATCCCCGGTACCAAAGTTGCCCCTTCTCGTCATTTATTAAGACGCTGCGGCTCGCCTATCAACAACCTCCCTCATTTATCGCATATATTTCCACCTCATTGTCGGCGGCATTCTCTCATTTCGCGCGAGAGAGTAGCTCTATCTCTTTTCTCCCACATAACCACACTCCTTTTTTCCCCCTCTCTCTTCTTCCCTTCGTCCCCTTCCACCCGTCCAGCTCCCGCTCCCCAATGGATTCGAGTCCTGCGGCGTCCTGGCAACCCACCGACGAGTCGCGAGAGGCCACCATCATCTGACCCCGAACATAGCGCAGCGCAAGAGGAAAAGAAGAGACAGGCGGGAATTACGGTAACGGGGGAGAAAGAACGAGAAAACGGGGAAGCTGCTGAGCGCATCCTAGATTTCCTTGATGGGGATAGTGTCAAATATATATAAATATATATTCTGACTTAACTTGTCTCCTGCCTTTTTTTTTTTTTTTTTCTTCTTTTTTTTTTCCCCCGCTGGTGGCGTGGTATCGCAGTTTGTGTGCTTGCTTGTCTTACTACATTCTAGCAACTTTTCCTCTTCTGGTAATTTCTAGCTGGAAGGAGTTGGGAGAGCTGGGGCAATGGCAGCGGGAGGACGGGATGGTAATAATGCTGATGCGATGTGAGTTGATTTCTTGCAGAACAGAATGACGATATATAACTCCCCCCTTCCCTCGCAAAGATAGACGGAGGAGGTAGCTTGAGGAAATTGTTTTTTTCGCAAGTCGCGCTTCTTTTGCCTTGTATTTTGTTCTTTCGGAGGACATGAAAAAAATAAGATACAGATTACATGGTCGGGTGCTTACTTTCTCTTCTTTCTTCGACACTTTAGCCCCGAACTTGACGGTGAAAAGGATCTCTTGAGGGTTCTCTCTGATAAAGAACCGACGTTTGCTGAAGTCAACGATTATCTTGCCAAGTATATCCGCTCTTCGCTTGCCTATAATGGGAACCGCGAGAACGTATACTGATATAGATGATTCCGCCGCCCACAGGTTCCGTATCGCATGCCAAAATGCCATATTTCACTGCTTCGAGACCGGGACGGAGACCGCATCTCTGCGTGTGGAGGGCCGGTTATGGGAGATACATGTGAAGATCAACAACCGGTTTCGCAAGCTTTTACTTCGTGTATGTTTTTATCTCTCCCGCAAATGTCTTGTATTGTCAGACTTTCCGTCCAGCTGATATCCGCCATTTTTTGGACCAGTTCCGTGACGATAACGCGCAGAAAAAGAGACCCGTCGAAAGGCGAAAGTTGCAGAGCCACTACTTGAACTTTATCAAATCGAGCCAGCGTTTCTACCGTGGCTACATCCAACATCTCGTGTCGCGATTCGACCGTATACCGGAACTGGAGAAATTGGCCAAGGAACTTAAGTTTGAGAGTAAGATATATACTATACCATTGGAGAGACGCTGAAGACATTGCCAAATTGGCCCTCTCGCTAATTTCGTACAAACAGACATCTCTGTAGAGGAAAAACCTGAAATTCCGGACGATCTACGCAAGAGCGTCCTGCTTACATGCCATGCAACCCTTATCCGCCTTGGCGATCTTTCCCGCTATCGCGAAATGGAATTGGTTCCGCCAACGAAGAATCGAAACTGGAACCAGGCTATCAGGTATTATAAATTGGCCGATATGCTGAACCCAGACTCGGGAATGTCCCACAACCAGCTAGCGGTGATTGGGCTTGCGGATGGAAACCATCTGCAAGCAACTTATCATCTATACCGCGCTTTATCCGCCCAAGAGCCGTACCCGGGCTCGCACGGGAATCTGCAAATTGAGTTTAGGAAAGTGTTAGCAGTCCGGGCTAAGGGGGAGCCTATCGCAAGCGCAACTGATGAGAAAGCCTCTCTTATCTCTATGTTTGTTTACCTCCATGCCCAGTGCTACAAAGGGTTGGACTTTCCTGAGCACGATGAACTTGAAAATGAGATCCTTAGTCAAATGGCTATTGACCTCAAGGAGCTCTCCTTGCACCCGCATCTATTGCAGAAATTTTGTTTGATAAACATCGCTGCGGAAGAGTACGCAAATGCTAGGCGGACGAATGAGGGAAAAAGCGCAGGCGATGTAGAGCCCGCACGCGATGCACCGCTGTTTTTCCAGAGACTCAATGTGAAAACTTTCTTCACTCTGTTGCAAATCTTGCTTTCCGAGCTGGAATGCTCGGTTGCAGCAAACGAGTCTGAAAGAATAACGCCAGTTGCACAGTGCGTTTTGCCCGCCCTGCGACACTATAGCTCCTGGCTGCTCTCGAACAGTGGCTCTTTGGTCTATGAAGATAAGGATACTCTGTTATATGTGCAGATCAAAGAATTCTGGAAAATGTATGCGGGTACTTTAAGCCTGCTTACATCGAGTTTCGACGTGCCAAGTCTTTCTGATGTCGGGTATCTTCTTCAGGAAGACGAAGATACGCTAGGGTTTAGTCCCTTGGTTAATGATATAACCTGGCGAAGATACGTTGATGAGCGTGGCCATAAGAAACCCAGATCCGATCATATCACAGAGAAACTGCCCGCTCATATTGAAATGCTGTTTCGTGTTCGTGAATTTGTGATTGATGGTCTTGATTTGGTTGTTCAAGAGGTACTAAGTTTCCCTTTCTTTTTTCTTTTTTTCTTTTTTTCTTTTTTTTCCCGCCTTTCCTTATTTCTCCCTTCTTCCGTAACCTTTCTGCCTATCGCCAGAAATGTGGACTAAACTATTTCCTACAGAAAATTCCTATCATTCTCGCAGAGAATAAGGAGACAAAACTATTTGTCTGCAAGGAAGAAGGGCTCCCTCAATTCTCAAGCCCAAGCGGACATCAACACCGACACACCCTTTCCTCCACTAGCATAGAGCGCGAAGACATCCGTCCTCCTGAATCCAGTCAGGGGCCAATGGAATACGCCAACTCCCAATCGGCATCAGCATCTATCTCCCTCGCTATGAACCAGATGGTCGACAACCTCGTTGAATCAGAAACAACCGAAAACTGTCCCCCAATTGAAAAAACCCTCTCGTCCACTACAGCATGGCGCGACGCAAGCCTAAATAACGCCAATACCAATAATGGGGTTTCTCAACAAGACGGGGATGACGACCGCGCCGGTAACGGTAATTTTACCGGAACTGGAACGGGAACCTTCAATTCATACAGTCCCATCATCGAACCTGCAGCCCCGCAATCATATTCTCCCCGGCCCGCTCTACCAAGTATCCTTAACACTCCATTTGCGCCGCAACCAGGCGAAGCCCTATCGCCCGCTACCCGTCCTTCTACGGCCATCAGGCAAGGCGATCAGTATAACCCGATCCTCCGCGCGAATCATCATAACGGAGCGTTCTCCCCAGCCCAAGATTTCCCACAACAACAGCAGTACATCATGGGTTTCCAAAACAGCCTGCAACTCCCGTCCACGCCCAATGACTATTCATATGCAACAAGCAGCCTATCGCCAACACAGACACAAACCCCAGGTATCCCCTATAATCAAGGCGGGGCTGGTGGGTATGCCACCCGCCAACCACCACCGGGCCTTCCGTTCAATGGTTTTTTGAACACCGCTGCTCACCAGTACAACGAGCGGGGATTCAACCAGCCATCCGGTGTGTCTTATCAGTACTCATCGTACGATCCCATTTCGAGTGTGAATTCCAAAGCGTCGCATTTGGGCGCCGGCGTTATTGGCCAGACACCGCCTAGTGGGCAGGGGAGTGGCGGATGACCAGTTTTTTTCTCTTTGGGCAATGCCTTCTTTCGTGGCATATTCACTGGGATATATACACTTGTTTTGTAGGGAAGTGCAGGAGAAAGGGGGGCGGGGTTTGTTTTTAACCCCTTGACTTGGGAAACAATGTTGATGGGGGCCTACTTGTTCTTCCTAGATGGAGAAGGATCCAATAAGGCGTACTATGCTATGTCATGGATGTTTATTCGAGTTAGTAAAGGTAATCGGCGAAAACGGATAACTTCAAAGAGCGAATATTAGCATACCCCTCTGTTGCGAGCCCCTCGACATTGGCTATACCACTTTCTACCACCAGTGCGATGAGCTGCCTTCTCGCCCGGACAGGGTCGTTGCAAACCCCGACCGACTTCCCACACGATCTTCCTTCCCAAAAAGCCACCCGGCCAGCCTCAGTTCACGTCTCTCTCTAACTACGAGCCCCATGGCTTCCTTTAGCCACCAACAAGGGCACCACCATCCCTACTGCCATCACTAGCAGGCCCAGCGCTACCCGTCTCATTTCCTCTCAGCAATTTTACCCTCCTGAAAGTTTGCAATTGCGGAACGGAAAACCAGAATTCAAAACGGGGACCTCATTTCCTTCAACACTTGTCCGGACCAGGCTGCTTCAGAAAACTGCAACCTAGGCGCGATTGATACATATAACCACAACTAGCCAGCAACCTAGTCTACTCTAACCCCTAGGCAAGAATACCCCGCTCTCCTGGGTCCAATGTACGGTGCAGTCCACCACACGCACGGGCATCAGAGTAACACACAGCGCCACTCTCACACGCTCGTAAAGATGTGTGGTACATACGCCTGGCTTGAACATAAATTGCAGTTATGGGATTGTGGGCTACGATGGCCGTGGATGGAGTTTTTTGTCATTTCCTTAGATGGATAGCTAGCGGTTGCTGGCTGTCCGGATTCACGTTTCTTTTCTTTTCTTTTCTTTTCTTTTTATTTAATAAAGAAGAAACCTTTTATACTGTATCTATTGACTTGAATATATGTACGCCATGCGATGCTACGCTTGTGCTACGATTTATGCTATGCATGCATGCTATTGTTCTGCTCTGTGATTAATCTCCTTTTTTTTCTCTCTCTTTGAAATCATTGATAAGAACATATACCTGTGTCTACGTGTGTATTCATTCACATGCTTTGGTCGTTTTTCATTACCAGTATTATTCCTTTCATTTATTTATTTTTTCAACCCCCCAACCTCCTCTAATCGTATTTTTTTTTTTCACCAGAACAATTTTTGTACAGAGATGTATCTTACCAGACTGAGTGGTAGCTTAATTAGATTGATTGGCTGGCTTTTGTTATTACTTACGCTATTCAGAATTGCACAATTTATTTTTTTTTCCCTTTATTTTATTTATAGTTAAATAATTACCCTTCACTCTCTTCATCCCATCAGCTCTACAACCCAACCCCACCCCCGGGTAGAGATATACGTATCTATTTCCTCCGCGTTAGATCGAGGTGTATCTAATACGATCTATTTAGAGCAAAGCTGTGCACCTATGGGAGTTTGCATTGAATAACGTATCCAGCAGGAAAGGAAGTAGGAAAAAATCAACACTTTATTATTTGCGGGAAAAAAGTACCATAACGCGTTGTTGAAAACGAGACAATTCTATCATTAAATCTTCTTACTTCCCTTTTTCTTTTCTTTTCTGAAAAGAAATTCTCTATCTGGCAGTTGAAATTTTGTTTTTCTTCTAACCATCTCATTTCCATGTTGGTGCTTTTTTTTTTTTTTTTTTTCCCAGCCATAAAATCAAAAAGAGTGGGCGCAAAACAAAATAATTGAATGTTTTCATCGGAACCAAAAAGCAAAACACCGAAATGCAGACTCGTTGGGTGCAATGCGGAAATACGATAACAGGGACTGCCCAACGGAAAGTACCAGCGGGGTTGAATGTGCTGATATATGCTTATAATATTCTTTTTAAAAACTCCCATTTGAAAAAGGGTAAAGATAAGAAGAGAGGAGGGAGGAAGGGCGGAAATGGGGGGGACAGAATTTCTAGACGCAGGATGAAGGGTCTAGATCTAACTATTTATGAGTTAGAGGGGAGGGTCGCTATGCTCCATGCGGGTATCTGGGGTTGAGCCTGTGGATGTCTAATGGGCTGGGAATGAATAAGGAATGTGGTGGAGAGGGAAAAGGGGATTGCTGCGGAGGTCAAGAGGGTGTGGGGGGGTAGGAAGGCAACTCTATTTTCCCCTTTAGTTTACTGAGTCCGAAATTTTCTACGAGGGTTTGTAGGTTTGTTTGGGGAAGGGGTAGCTAGTAGGTGGGATGGATAGGTTAGTATCTCATTTGAAAGGGGGTTGTGAACGGGAGTAACCTCGTCCCGCGCGACTCGGGGTTGGGTGCCGCGGAACTTACGATGGGCCCAATTCCCTAATACTGAGTCCGGCGAGCCAATGGCCCATATCAACACTTTCTTCGATGCTCTTGCCCTCTACGACGCCAGCGCAGAAGCCACCGGCGAAGGCATCACTGTTTGTTCCAAGGTTAAGGGAAAAAATTAGTGTACTGCTCTCGTTTTGAACAAGGGATACTGGTGGCGTGGAGAGTTGGAATCTTACCCAGCACCGTTGGTGTCATTGATCTCATCCTTTGAGATGGCATGAACGGAGGTCAGCTTAACTTCAACATTTCCGTCAGCACTAGCAACAGCGGAGATGGTTGGGTCAGTCCCTTGCGTGATGATGACGATTCGGGGCCTGTTAGTGTTCTTCTTGGGCAGGGTAGCCATCTTCTTGGCGATTTCTTCGACGTCAGTGATTCCCCATCCATGAGATTCGGAGTAGGAGAGAGCTTCCGCCTCGTTGCCTAGGACGTAATCTGTGTACGGGAAGACGGAGTCGAGTTGGTCCTTGAAGAATTGAGGGATGAAGGGGGCTGAGAGGGAGAGCATGAAAGTCTATTATGGAAAACAAGAGGGGTTATTGAATTAGCTAAACTGATATCGAGGTTGAAGATACAGGACGTTAAGTAAGGAGTACACACCTTGTTCTTCGCAGCAGCCTCCTCAGCCAATGCCAGGATTGCCGGCACACAGACGGTCAAATGGTAACCGCCAACATAGTACACCTTAGCCTTCTCCACCAGGGACCAGATATGTGGCTGCTTCAGGTGGTCCAACTTGTACTCGTTGGAAGCGGCAAGGTGGGTGCAAAGACTCCGCTCATGACCAGTGATGATGACACCGCAGCGGCCGGTGGGTTGAGTCACGTCAACACGATACTCGGTACGCAGGCCAGCCTTGTTGCAGGCTTCTTGGAGAATATCTGCGTATTTATCCTTGCCGACACAGCCGATATAAAGCACGGAGTTTGGTGGGAGAATGTACTGAATTGGAGAGCGAGTTAAGTTCCATAAGACTTCCCAATGCATTGAGGATCAATTGGCCGTTATTTCTGCACAAACATACCTGAGCGCCACGGGCAGTGTTCTGTGCAGCCCCTCCTGCAATCAACTTGGCACCACGGTTTTGGATGAGGTCCTCGAAGAGACCCATATGCTTCTCCTCTGCAAGAATGGCATCGTTGGGTTTCAGGCCATATTTCTCGAGCAAGGCGGCATCTCTGAACTATGGTTTTAGCAAAGCGCAGACAAACAAACTGTAAAGGAAATAGGTCAATTCCTATGGTTGCACATACCCGACTCCCTGAATATCTAGAAGGAGGGGCATGTTAGCAAGGAAACTCAGTAGGGCGTTCGTGAAGGCAGCTTACCCAGCAGGGGATTCTCTAGGCAGAGAAGAGGATATCCTTCCGTAGCAGCCATTTTGTCTAATGAAAAGTATATCGATTGATATCCTTTGTGCGTGTGAAAGAAAAAATTGAGTTATCTGGTCGCCGTGGTTTGGTTGTGGTGGGGTTGCAGAGCGTAGTAAATATTGCAGGAAAAAGCAAATATTTAACGTCCAGTCTTGGATGGTCTTCATTCGGACCTCCAAACATCCCGAACACCTTCAACGCCTCCGCAATCAACACCGCAACACCACCAATATACACCACCAATCCATGCCCAAGAGCCCCCAGATCAACTGAAAAATGACAGACCCAGCCATCCAACTCGCCGAGACCATCCAAACCGCCTCCATAAACCCCCATCCCTCAGCAGCCCATGACATCAATCCGTCCACAACGACCTCGCAAAAGGAGCCGGTCACCATCAGAACCTACCATCATCGCTCTCCCTCATATGCCACCTCCATATCAACAGACATTGTCGACCCTAGCCGGTCAATACGGCCTCTACAGCGTGCCCCCTTGCCGCCTCTACCGGACCTGCGCTTCGAGCAGAGTTACCTAGCCAGCTTGAAGGGGGCGGAGACGTGGCAGAGGGTTGCGTGGATTACATTACGGGATCAGGTACGGATAATATAACTCTTGTCAATTTCTTCTTCTTTTTGTCCTTTTCGTCTATTTTCCCCATGACCAGTCACTATATGTTGTTTGCCTAGAATGACGACTTAACCAGCCTACTAATGTTGTCCCTGCCACGGAAAATAGGTCTTCCTCCCCCTACTACAAGGGACCCTATGGACACTCGCCCTCACTGGCTGGCGATATTGGAATCGTGGAGCCCAATTCACCGGCCAGACGCTGGGGACCAGGATCCGCAGGTGGTGGTGGGAAGTCAACAACTGGAAGATACCGCAGTCATGAATGAGATAAAAGTTATGAAAAATACATGTATATAAGAATTCCAACATTCCGATATTTGGGAGAGTATTTTTTTATCATACCCAACTAGCTGTGCAACCACGGGATTTTTTCACACGCTGCCCCTGTACTCAGCGCGTCCGCCGGTCCAGTTGCGTTTAAGTTCGACCTTCGGGAGACTCTCTACCTTAAAAAAGGCGGCGCGGTGCGAGGCTTTGGGGGCCTGTGGCTATTGGTTTTCGCTACCTGCATATGAGAGCGTTAGGCGTTTAGAGTGCTCATGGGATATTTGAAAGGTTTCCTAACTGTGGGAGGCATCGATCATTGAAGGTTGGCTTGCTGGCGCTACTTGTATGTATGTATATATATACATTTGGAAACTTGTTCGAAACAGAAAATGCCACGTAAATTTTCTTTGACATCAGTCCCAGGACAAAGTTCATCGGTTGCTCTCTGATATGGTGTCAAAAAAACTCTAGATGTGGTGGGTTTTTAGCGTAGGCACGTGTAAACAGAGAATTAACATCCACCAAACCTCGCAAGAAAGAGATTGAAAAAATAACAATAAACCCTCTGCTTAAATAAAACGAACCCTTGCGAAGTTTGCGAAAGGGTACGTTAATAGCTGAATGGAAAACTGGAACACCTTAACATACCAAAAGGGAGAGAAATAGAGGAAGAGAGAGAGATAGAAAAGAAAGAAACAAGAAAAGGTGAAATAACCTGACAAAGCTAAATAAATCACAAATCCCCCTACCAGACGGTTAAGTCAAAGCAAAGAGTGAGAGGGATTGATTAAAGAAACAAATAAAACAGCACCAAGGTCCCCACGCCCATTCAATCAAAACATATACCCCATCGAATTTCCATTGTCGCTACACACGCGAAAAGAAGGAGAAACAAAACGGACAAACGAAGTAAACAGATTATTAAAATGTGAATCTTTGGTCGACGATGTTGCCGATTGGTTTTGCATAACAACCTATCCCGGATAAAAACCACACGAGGAAGATAACAAGTTATCGAACTTTTTCAGCTCTCTATATGAATTGAAAATAAAAAAAAAGAAAAGAGTAAGAGTACGGATTGATCAGAATCCTTAGTAGATCGTGGCGGGACAGGAAATGCCGTGGATTACTGTAGCCCGGGAAGAACTCCGTTCTGATCGGATGGTGGATGAAGGTGTTTTTGGTTGCGGGATATTGGAATCCATAGGAAAGTTGAGGTTGTTTCACTGCGGGCATTATATTGGATACTTGATGAGTATCTTTCGAGCTAGTCACGGATGGCGGCGGCGGAGTGGTAGTGGCTGTAGTGGGAGGAGCTGTAGGCTCAGGAGAGATGATATGTTCTTTGTCCGAATTTACAGCAGTTGGTGGTGGTAGTGGTACCGCTGCTGGTACAGTGGATCATTTGGTGCAGATACAACCACTGCGAACGGATGCTGGCGATTTGGTTCGCTTGCTTCTGGCTTTACTGGTATAGGTTGTGGGCTTGCACCTGGAGCTTGGCCTGCAGTTGGGTTAGGAGGCGTGTTAGGAGCTGCGGTAGGACTGCTGCTTCCTAGCCCCCGCTTCGCTTTCCCATATCTTAGCTGGACCACCAAACTCCGCTGGCTAGTACCGTAGCCGTTCCCATCATTATCGCTAGGATCAGGGCTATATGACTCGGCGTCACTCATCTCCTCATCCTCATCTCCATACTCATTGTCCTCGCCGCCATCCCATTCATTCCCACTCGACGACGCAGCTTCCGATTCCTCGTCCATTTCATCAACTGCATTATACCCTTCAATATGTCTCCCCGCGCCATTCGACTGCCGACCCATCCTACTCCGATGCGGCCTTCTTCCGTTGGAAACAGGCTGTTCACTCTCGCCATCCCCTTCCTCGCCACCGCTAGGCCCAACAGACCGCGGCAGCAGCGGTGTTGATTCTTGCCGTTGACCACTTAGCAGGGACTGGCCGTACGCTCCGACAATCCGTGGTTTGACCTGCCGGCCGCTGGCGGTAAAGGTTGGGCCGGCGGGCATTTCACCTGGGGTTGAGAAGCGGGACTGGCGAGCTGATCTCCGGGTAGGGAGGGCGTCGGATGAGAAGTCATCATCATCATCGGAATATGTGTATTTGAGCTTCTTGCCGCGAGTTCGGCCTTCGTAGAGAGAGAAGCCAGGTTCCGGACGAGCGAATGCGGCTTTCCGCGCCAGGCGATAGTCGCGACGCTTTCGTTTCTGGATAAATTTGATTATTACGAAGGCAGTTAGTTTGATCTTCATATACACCGTCGTGGGAATTGTTTATATTGCAGAAGAAACAAACAGATTGATATCGGTACGTACCTCCTCAGAGCCCTCGAATCTCGGAATGCTGGTAAAGATCTTCTCACTCAGCCGTTTAGAGTGCTGCGACTTCTCCTCAGCAAGAGAATCCGCAACGCTTCTCAGTTCAGGAATAGTCCCTGCAACGCTCCACCATGTCCTGTTCTTCAGCGCAGGGTTGCTTTCCCGGTACAGTCTGAAATGTGTATCATCCCTGCCCTCAATAAGCCAATACCGGCGTTTATAGGCATCATTCCCCCATGGTTGGACGGATAATGGCTGATTGAGATCGTCATCGTGTCTCGTTTGTTTATAGGATGCTTTCAGTTTGGCTTGGACGGCGTCGGAGGATGAGAGGGCCCAAAGTATCAATGCCTTGAGGAAGGCCAGCTTCACCAACAAAATATATAGTTTTAGTTTCAAGGCGCATTGCCCATAGGTGGGGTTGGGACATGGAGTCTTACTCGTTCAGTAGGGGTCATTGTCGCAAAGCTTCCCCCGCCATGAAGGGGGTTTTTACCGCCCCACGATCGTGGCCACTGTGATGAGTGCGTCTGCACAACCTCCTCGAGGGCGCGTTGGTAATGGTCCCTCCTATATTGCACAAGCCATTAGCCCATTAGCCCTAGACACGTTTATCCCCTGACAAAAAATAAAGGAAAAAAAAGGAAGTAATCCTTTGTCCTGCTCATAGAAAAGGGCACGTGTATGGCGTATTGGATGGGTGAAGACGAACTCAACATCTCTCTTCCTGTTAAGGCACAGGCCAATTAAAGCGCACAATAATCTCATAATATGATCTCCAGGGACAGTATCCGTGACTCCTCTCTCAATATCCTGTGGTCCGTAGTGTGGAAGTGATTTTGGAAAGACATCCGAGAATCTGGAGCGGAACATCACGATAAACTAAAAAAAAAAATAAAAAATATGAAAACTATTAACAAACGCGTACTATTTTTCACAATTTTGATCGCCCGACAAAACACGCGTTAAATCTACGGATCAGGGCGCGATATGATCGCGTAAACTTCATATTACTTACTGCAATGTCTGGATTGTCTGCGAGAACATATTCATGAGGCGGCGAGGGGGCACGTTTTGGCGGCGGAGGAGAGGCTGGTTTGGCGGGCGTCTGGGGTTTGAAATACTTTCCCAGGCCCATACTGCGGTTGACGGAGGCGGCGATGGTTTCATCATCTGTGGACGGAGGAGAAGACAGCGAAGACGAGTCCGAGTCCGACATGATCCTTGGGTGCTGTGTAGAGGAGGATGGCAGGGCGGGGAGTGCGTGTGGTTGGTGGTGCTTGCGTGGTTGGGCGGAGGAGGTTAGGTAACTTGTAACTTATGGCCTTGCTTACTTGGGAGCAACTTAAACCTGGTGGCAGCGCGGCTATGACGCGGATCTCTCGTCTAAAGGCTTCATTGGGCCACGGAGGGGAGGAAGACTACATCAGCCCGCTGTGGCATGGAATTACTAGGGGCTATCGTCGTTGAACTAAAGCCCTTTTTTATCTTATTCATATTGTTTGTCAAAATTCAATTTCTATAGAACGAATAGATCTCAAGCTGGCCACCGTCATAGTTCACCCTGGATCACAAAGCTGCCTCACAAACACGGACCCACCAATAGAAGCCATTCCAATAGTCCCAAATAGCCATGCCTCTCCATCAGAAGGTTCTAAGGAGTATTTCACTCTCCAAATATGAGATTTTAGGGATGACACCGCCCTCTGCTGGTCAGTTGTCGGAAGCCTGGCAAAAACCACCTATGTTGAACAACAATGTAGCCCAACCAGCCAGTTTTCATGAAGGGTGGCGCTTAGCGTCTTTGAGTTCTCGTGTTCCAGTGTTCCAGTGTTCCAGCGTTCGCATTCAAGCGCTCGCTAAAATGAGCATCGCTACAACGAGCAGAGTCCACAGAGATTGATATGCCCGACAACCCATGGGGACAACGTATCTATACTGGTATGTCGCGACCAGTTCTGGTGTGGGCTGTTTCCAAGCATGGCACAGCTTGTTCCCCGACGCCCAGCAGCAGACAGAAAGTGGTGGGGAACCCAAATAACACATCAACAGCGCACAAGTTGTAAAACAATCATCATTTCAAAACAGATGCGACAAAGCCACTCGCTCGTAGAGCGTGAACTGAAAGATCAGTCCCCTTGTCTGAAACAACAACCATTTGTGAGTTTAACTCAGCACTTGAGCAAACGCACCTAAAAAGTTGAGTAAGGTGGGAGGAAATCATAGAGATCCGCCAACAGATAATATAACTGAAGATACAAAGGAACATAAAATAATCAGCAAGTCTGCATCACGAATAAAAGTAACAATTAAAAAAAAAATTCAAAAAAATTCAAAAAAATTCAAAAAAATTCAAAAAAATCAAAAAATCAAGTTGCATTCATTGTTCTTAGTGACCAAAGCCCCCATGTTTTGCCCCATCGAACAGGACGTGGAAGAGCAATAGATCAAGAACCACATTATAGCAGAGTCACGTAATACTGACAAGGAATCCGCCAGAATAACTGTTTGACGCCCAGACTTTGATAGATCTTATCGTGGGAGAGAGCAACCTTGCAACGGGCATCCATCCCCATCACCCAATTTCATGCATGGCGAGATTGGAAGAGATCCTGCCATCACCCCGAATGCCAATATCAATACCCAGCTCAGCGCCTGGTGGATTGATACTTCATCCGCAGCAGGTTGTCACCGTGGAAGAAGCCAGCTGCAGGTTTCTGTTGCGGATGTTCCAAGGTTGGTGGGGCTCGGCGCTAGAGTCAACTCGGTTAGCTTAGCGACGCGCACCCTAAGCCCACACAGAAAGCGAGACAGACGAAACCCAGCCAATTTCGACGAGAATCGATCTCACAACTGCCAACCCCATTCCGCAGCAGCCAACTTTGCGAAGCATCAGGTACGAGCCCGATCACCGTCCCCCATCGAGCAATTCAAATTATTGCAGGACCAAGCGGCAGCCTTTTGCTAACATTCTTTTCGTGCTTCTTGCCGACAACAGTTAGACGCCATGGGTCGTGTGATTCGCAATCAGAGGAAGGGCCGTGGATCGATTTTCAGTACGTTGCGGACAAGATAGATTTCATTTTTATCCTTGCGATCTCTCTACCCCCCAAATGTCCAGTTCTCCAAGATCCTCCTAGACGAAATAGAGCAAAAGAAGGAAAAAAGGAAGTGAGAGCCATAAAAAAATGTTTATGGAACGCGAAGAAACACAGTGGGAGATATGGACGAGAACGGGGGGAGGAGATGTGCAATCATAATTTTTGTGGTGATCGTAAAATCGTTGCTAATCGAAAAAACCACAGCGGCCAACACCCGTCTCAACAAGGCTCCTGCCCAGTTCCGTACCCTCGACTATGCTGAGAGACACGGATACACCCGCGGAGTGGTGAAGAAGATCATCCACGACGCAGGCAGAGGCGCTCCCCTGGTCCAAGTCTCCTTCCGCCACCCATACAAGTACAAGGACGTCGTCGAGACCTTCATCGCCAATGAGGGCATGTACACCGGCCAATTCATCTACGCCGGTAAAAACGCTGCCTTGACCGTCGGAAACATTCTGCCCCTTGGCTCCGTGCCCGAAGGTACCGTCGTGACCAACGTCGAGGAGAAAGTGGGCGACCGCGGTGCGTTGGGCCGCACGTCTGGAAACTACGTTACCGTCATCGGCCATAACCCCGAGGAAGGGAAGACTCGCATCAAGCTTCCCAGCGGTGCCAAGAAGGTTGTGAAGAGCCGCTCGCGAGGAATGGTTGGCATTGTTGCTGGAGGTGGTCGTACAGACAAGCCCCTGCTCAGTACGTTTTTTGTACCCCCTCCGCCAAACCGCGCAATTGAGACCGGTTTAAGGGATCATTCTTCCGTGACCTGGGAAAAATGACCTAGGAAAAATGATAAGTTTGGTTATGTATACTAACCACTCCGACCAACTCTACAGAGGCGTCCCGCGCCAAGCACAAGTTCTCCGTCAAGCGCAACTCGTGGCCCAAGACTCGTGGTGTTGCTATGAACCCAGTCGACCATGTAAGCAATATATTCCTCTTGTTACCTTTAGCGTATGACACCCGCCCAGCAGCATACTAATTTTTTACCTCCCCTCAACTAGCCTCACGGTGGTGGTAACCATCAACACATCGGTAAAGCCTCGACAATCTCGCGGTACGCGTCCGCAGGTCAAAAATCCGGTCTCATCGCTGCCCGGAGAACCGGTCTACTCCGCGGTACCCAGAAGACCAAGGATTAAGAAAAACAACACAAAAATCAAAAAGAAAAAAAATACACGAAATTCTTGCTTCTGGCTTCTGCGTTGTTGGGGGTTGTTTTTCTTCCTCTACCCTCCGTCTTCCTCCCTTCACCTCATCCTTCCCCTCCTCCTGATCCTCCTGTGTTTAAACCTCGGCGATCATCTGCATCTCTCTTTTTTATTACCTCCTCTATTTGTCTCTCTATGTTTCCTGCTTTGTTTTTCGCCCTTTCCGAAGAGCGCAAAAATTATGATGATGGGTTTGGTTGGTTGGTTGGTCGGGAGTGTGGTGTATTTAAACTTTTTAGAAAAATAATACTCACACGCCCTTCTCTCTTACTGTTTCTGGTTTTCAGCTCTTTTTGTTTTGTCTTTTTTTCTTTTTTTCCTCGAAAATGGCATGGCTATGTGATGTGTGTGGTAAATGATCATACCATGCACACTCACAGTTCGAGAAGAGCAGGCTCATGTGGGCCGAAGCCTGCTGGGGCTCCATTTTGAACAACGTCTGAAGTGAGCAAATAAATGGGACTAGAAAGGCAAAAGGAAGAGAAGGAAAAGAAATGGAATGGAGAGCAGATGTTACACCACTTATAAGTCAAAAGAAAAAGATAGGAAAATCTGGGACCCCAGAATCTCATTCATGATGATACCTCGTGTTTCTTCTGTGTTAGGGATGGTGATTGAATGTGGAATATATGTAGATGGACAGTGTAGTATTCACAACTGCACAGACAACGTATGACTTTTACAAGAATCTATCAGGATCAGGTCAACCGTCAACAGCTAACTCTCAACATTTGTCTCTCTCTCTTATCTACACAGTTTTGAGGGAAAGAAACCATTTTCTCCTTGGCGGAGGAAAAGAGCGGGAAAAAAAAAATTCTCTCAGCAGAATTTAAACTTTTACTATATAAAAGCTAAGGGGTTGAACTAGAACAAACAATTCTACAGACTCCAGAGATCATTCAGACGCAAAACAAAACATCCCTTTCAAGGATTCTTTTCTGTCAGGAATGTTCATTTACTAATATAATATTGACTGAATGAGTAGATAGACATACAGAAAACAGAAAACATATCAACCTTTTTCATTTCACGCTTTAAAATAATCAAAATTTTCTTCACTCCAGTAGCTACTATTCACTCTTCTTACACTCATTGATCATATTTATATCAATTGCTCTGCTTTATTCAGCCTCTTCAACCTCTCTTCATGTCTTTCATCACATCACTTCATATATAGGCTTCTCTAATCTGTACAACCGTACTCACTTGGTATAAACATTATATTCTCCGTGATGGAATGGAATTTTTCATGTTGGGCCACGGTTGCTTGGGAGACAGAATATTGCTTTGGTAGATTATACGTAGTATTTCACCTGATGTCAGTTTTCCAAACAACTCTATTCCAACTCACCTCTTCTCCTACAATCTGCAGACGACTACGGCAGCGGTATGCATGCTATCATCCCCGAGGCACAATTGTCTCGCGTACGATCGATCCATCGGAGCAGCCCCGTACCGTAGCATGAGCCATATCTATGGGCAATGATATGACGAGCATATTATTGAGGAAGTTCCCCCCCCTCTCCCGCGGGCGGTGGGCTCACAGATCTAAATATCCATAGGGAAATTGTTATTTTATGGGTTTAAAAATTCTTAAAAAATTTAGCTAGTTAAACGACCTGCCACTGATGTCATCCGCCCACAAATAAGTTAATTTCTCTTCGCGCGCCACCACCAGCAGAGACCGACCGATGATGATGGACCCATTGGAGGGATCCATGAATCCAGACAATGGAAGCCATGAGAGTTTAGACTTATGATGATTTTACTATGGGTACTCCTATGATTATACAAGACGACGACGCTCTAGACAAATATCTACTGTACATTCAACAAGCCGTCAGAGTTCGCGGTGTTTAAACCAATCCAAAGCGCCAAACTGCTAGGCATTATGTCATCGCTCGTCTACCTACCTACCCCACCGAGGCCAAGCCCCCAAGCCTCGGCACAGTGCAGACACAAACAACCCACAAACCCACCACCAACACCAGCCCACCGCGACCCAAGGAACCCAAGCACCACCCACCAGGAGTCAAAATAGCCGGCCTTTCTTGGGGGCAGGCTATACTCAGGGTTTTGTATTCCTATGTGTCAACGCAAGCAAGCAGGCAGAGACACCGGTCTATGGACTACGTTTGTGTTTGTGTAAGGGGGAAACCAGCAGCCCTTGGAGCAGCGCTGATCACCTGACCCTTGCCCTTTCGAGCCATTTAAACTATTTAGGCAAGGTGACGCTGGTGGGCTTGGCGGAGCTTGGCGGGCTTGGCCCACGTTGGGGCGGTGGTGGGGCTTACATAAGTCAGCAGCCAGCCAATCAGCGGCGGGCGGCCGGGGGGTCCCGTGATGAGCCCGTGAACTGGCGCTGATAGTTGCCAAGGGGCGTCGCAGGCGTTGCTACCAAACTGACCAATGGGCGGCGGGCAGTCACGGGGACAGGCCGGCCAGGCCAGGGGGGCGACGCGAGGGGGCGGGCAGCGTCGAGGAAGCGTCGAGGAAGCGGCGAGGGAGCGTTGAGTGAAGCGTCGAGGGCTGACGGCGTGGTGCCTGCCGTTTCTGCCCAGCCCTATTTATTAGGGCCTGGCCCCCCCCTTCAGAGCCCTCGTTTGCCCGAAAGAAGAAAGAGCGAGCCTTCATTTTATTTACTTGCATATCCATTTATATCCAGATCCAGCAAGATCAAGAACAAGTACAAGAACGGAAAGAGAAGCGAAGAAGAAGAAGCAGACAGACAGACAGTAAACAGGACTCGGACTCAGTTTGCAGCCAGCGGCGATATTCTTCACGTAGCTCTTCTTGTATCCTACTACTACTTACTACTACTACTACTACTACTACTACTACTACTGCTGCTGCTGCTGCTATTGCTATAACCTACTACTACTGCTACTGCTACTGCTACTACTATAACCTACTACTATATCTGAATATATCTGAATACTTCATCCGAGCACACTCTATAAGCATAGCATAGAGAGAGAGAAAGAGAGAGAGAGAGAGAGAGAAACGTTATAGACTCACCCCATCCTATCCTATTATCCTACCACAACGACGTCCCCGAACTACCACCACCAACAACAACAACAACAACAACACAAAAGAAACCACCTAAAGGACCCCTCGCTTCAAGGCAAGCTCCCGCAGCTATCTTTGATGGCATTGAACACCGTTGAAATACCAAGTCACCTACTTACCACCTTCTCCTCCGCCTCCTCAATATCGCTCCGTCGTCCACCCTTATTACCCTTCCGCTTCCTGCTCTTGCCTGCCAAGTAACTATCGACCAGACCGTATCGTGTTCAGCCTGCTCCTGCTGCCTGTGGTATACATATATCTATCTATTATTTATATAGATATATAAGAAGAAGCCATCTTACGCGCGCTCTCTGGAGCTCTTCCAAACCCTGGCATACGGTCTCTTTATATATATACCCCAGAATCGATATTGATATCAATATCAAAAACGACAACCATATCAACAGCAAATAAATATATCAACGACAACGCCTCTCAAAAGATGGCCGTCTCAACCACCTCCTCCTCCATCCGTTGGCGTGCAATCGTCAACCGTGACGCCACCGCCAACGACTTTGTCTATGGCGTGCGCACTACAAAAATCTACTGTCGCCCCCGTTGTCCTGCTAGGCTTGCCCGCCGCGCAAATGTCGAGTTCTACGACACCCCCAAGCAGGCTGAGAAGGCCGGCTACCGCCCTTGCAAGCGCTGCAAGCCAGAGGATCTTCGTGCCCCACCTGACCCGCATATCAAGCTCGCCCAGCGCGCCTGTCAGACCATGACACTGGCGGCGCTGCGGGCAGCGAGCGGTGCTAATACCGGCGAAGCGAGGACGAGGCCGACCCTGCAGGACCTGGCCAACGAGGCAGGGTTGACCCCGTCACATTTCCATCGCGTGTTTAAGAAGGTTGTGGGCATTACGCCAGGGAGGTTTGCAAGAGAAGTTATGGAGGGCAAGAAGATGACTGGGTATCTGAAGAGGTTGGAAGAAGGCATCAGTGCTAGTGGTGGTGGGTATGCCGGGTATGGTGGTGGCGCTGGCACCTGTGGTGCGGGAGCGGGAGTGGAAAAGGCCGATGCAGACGGAGAGGGTAGGTTATCGGTAGACTTTTCAAGTAAACCTGGTGGTGCTGCTGCCAATGGATTGGGTCTGGATGGGGTAGACGGCGTATTCTCCCCCACCGTCACTACGGATTCGCAGAATTATACTGCCCTCCCTCACGCTGGATCCATGCGCATTGATTGGAATGAATTCGATAGGATGCTGGGTGGCACTGGTGGTGACGATGCTAGGCGTAATAGCAACAACAACCACAGTAATAGTCATCAACATCATTCCCATGCGCTTCCACATAATCATAATAGTGGCTTTTCCATAGCAGACCAAAAACAGCAGCAGCCGCAGTCCCCCCCGCAGACACAGGCGCATACACAGGCGCAAACACAGCCAAATACACAGGCACAGACATCCACTGCCACGACAACAGCACCGCTCCACCCACACATCCTCGACCCATCCTCCACAAACACCGCCGGTCTCCTCCTCGACCACTATGAACTCCCCTGGGAATCCCCAGACTGCACCCTGAACTTCTCCTCCTCTCCCACTCGCCACGTCTCAACTGCTGGATATAGCAGTGGCTCCCTCTCCCCCTACGACTATGACCCGCTCATAGACACAAACGCAAACACAGACTTCTACAGCAAATTCTTCGACCACAACAACACTACCACTACCACAACCCTCAACTCAAACTGCAACATAAACTGCAACACCAACTGCAGTAACATCACCTGCACCAACACCACCACCACCACCAACAAACAGCAGCAACAGCAACAAGAACCGTTCCGCCAGCTCGACCTCTCCGAAGATTCTGCCTCACTAACACCTGTCGACACACCCCCCTTCCTCGTCGACTCACTGCACACGACAGGCTTCTCATCCGGAGCCTCATCGGCATCGTCGGCGCATGCGTCGCCACTGTTGCTGTTTGAAGATGTGGATTGGTATGGGAGCCCGAGCATCTTCCAAACATATGCTTAATTAATTGCTGTTTTTTTCCCCTACCTCTTGCTTGCAATGAAATTTGGGATTTGGGATTGGGTTTCGGCTAGGTCAACGTAGGTGTTCCGGTGCAAAAGGAAACCAAAGAAAGCAACCAAAAAAATGACAAATGAGATGCGAAAATCATGACAAAAAGGGAAAAAGTGGGATATGAGTAGTTACGATGGGTGTTTTATCATATTATCATTTCGTGGAAGTTCTGGGGTCTGCTATTTCCTTCTCGCATTTATCTTTGTTCATATCTTTTAACTTTCTGTAGAGATTAATAATGTTTTTCTTCTCTTCTTTTCTCTTCTTCTTTTTCTTTTCACTCTTTCCCCCTTTTTAACATCATTGATTATGTTTTTATCATTCTCATAATGTATATATAATAACAGCTCCTGACAGAATTAGAGATTGACAAGAGAAGAACAGGAAAGGAAAGGAAAAGAGAATGAGTGAAAAGAAGAAAGGAAAAAAGAAAGGAAAATGATGATGAAAAGAGAAGTGAGAGTGATAAATTTACTAAAGCTTGAATTGTGAAACTTGAAGTGTCTAGAGAAGAATATATATTCTTATATTTTTAAGAGCAAAGAAAAGAGATGAAATAAAAATATGAAAACGAAAGAAATAACATGATATGAAATAATGAAAATGATGATTGAATTGATATAATATATTCTTCAATATTGCAATCATTTTTTAAATAAAAATAACACTCTTTTATTATATAACTCTGTTTCTCTTTAAAGATAAAAATAATATCAGTGAAATATAGAGAAACTGATTATTTATATTTCAAAAAATAGAAGATTTTATAAGTAATTACATTAATATAGAATTAATTCTTAATTTTAATAGTAATTTAATATTACTGTTCTTAATTCCTTACAGAATCTATTAAATATTAAGATATTAAAACTATATATTTAATATATTTTGATTAAAGACTCAGTTAAATCTTGAATTGAATTTAATTTTGTAATTATTCACAGATTATATACTGACTAATATTATCAAGATACTTTTTTTTATATTTTTCTAATGTTTTGAAACATTAAAAACAGACAGGATTTTCACAGCTTCAGATATTCTTCACAATCAGAGGTTGAGAATTTTTCAAAATCAAGAAAATTGATGCATAGAAATTCTAGGGCTAGGTCTCTCCACCTTCCAATTTGTATGGCAATTTGACCCGGGGTTGTGGCGTGGTAGGGTAGGGGTGGATGGGATGGGGGAAAACCTCACATGGGGGCTTTGAACCATGTTTGGTTGAATCACTTCACCACCACACGGGGTATGAGGTCGGTGTTGGGGTTGAAATGCTTGAATGATCGAGCACTATCAGCGGTTTATTATTCGAAAAATTGAGCGAGTTCGTGGTGGAGCGGTTTGAAAAAAATTCGCATATTCTGTATCTGAAATTGCTAAATGTATAGTTAATAATTGACTGTATAAGTACTAGAAAAACCCTGAGATCTCTCAGATCTCAGGTAGATGTCATAGTCTCTGACTGCATACATCTATAATTGATTTCTTATTAGAGTTAGTGTCTGCAGTAGTTACTCTTCTTTCAATCTCATTTTTCAATCCTTATCTCATTTTCATTCTCTGTGACCGCCCGCCTCTTTCTGAACAGAGAGACTGTGATTGTTCACTCTTGCTACTTTTCAGAGCTTCTGTTTCTTTCTTCTTTCACTTTTTTCTTCTTCTACTTCTTCTTTCTTTCACTTTCTTCCTTCTTCTACTTCATTCTTATTCCTCTATTCAGAAGTACATTCATTCATGCTACTTCTCAGAGCTTCTGCTTCTTTCTGTAAAGTTAACTATGATAAACAGACAAGCATGTACACACACATATATATATATATATAGAGGCGCCCGCCCATCCTCATCTTAGAAGAATGAGACGAGATTTACCATTTTACAAGTACTATACAACGCTACAATTGACATACGCTGCAGTGATAGTCTAATCTATATACTAGCACAGATTATAACACTCATCACTAAGAATCTCTCTCATGATATAATCATCAAGATCTGATTCATTTGAGTTAGCTTATTTCCTATTTAAGATTAGCTTCAAATAACTAGTGAGTGACTAATCATTGATTATAATATTCTGAACAGTGGCTGAGATTCTGAGATAAAGCAAGATCTAACTTCTGTTTCTGAATAGTCTCTTATATATTTTTAAAACTTAAATTAGTTATGTTTATTTATAAACTAACTCATTTATCTAGATGGTGAATTTGAGGTATGCTAAAAATATGTGTGATAAATAACTTACTGATTAAAAGAGTATAAAAAAAAGAGTACACAAACAGCACGGGAAATATATAGTTAGAAAAAAAAAAGGTAGTTGAAAACAATATAATAAAAAACATAATAAAAGTAAGCACTTTGCACTGCTGGGAACATAAGGAACTTGTTGAAACTGTTCCAAAACTGAGAAGCAAAAAACAATGAAGCAAACAATATCCAACACACAAGTAACAGGCCATTGCAGAGGCACCTCAACGATACTCGTAAACAAGGATAGAAGCCAAAGGTAGACAAGGGATGGTGGGTGAGGTATCTGGTATAAAAAGCA